TGCAGAATGTTGTCTTACAGATCACTGATGAGCTACAAATTAAATCAGCAAGAGAAGTTATTAGCAAAGGTTAATAAAAGGAAAACTGTTTTGCAGGGCTGTGGAGTCAAGAGTCAGAAGTAATTTGGGGAAGAGTCAGTTTGCAAAACTGTACCTTAATATAAAAGCTCACATTGAAAACAATATATAAATATGCCATTTTGTACTTACATTTTGCTTTCAAAAATTATTATGTGCCTTGTTTATTGCATGTTTACTTTCATAGGATTTTTGGAAATATTAATTAAACAAATGTATTTTATGATGATGATGGTGGTGGTGATAATAATAATAATAATAATAATAATAATAATAATAATAATAATGCTTTATTTATAACCTGCCCTATCTCCCCTAATAATAATGCTTTATTTATAATCTGCCCTATCTCCCCAAAGGAACTCAGGATAGCTTCTATCAATATAAAACACAGTAGCAAACATTCAATGCCAAAAGCACATAACAAAACAAAAACAAACTCAAGAAAAAATATAAAAATAACAGCTTAAATAAACATGTTCTATCAATCTAATTAGCTCGATGATTCACATGATGATGAAATATTTGTGTTGCCATTTTTCTAGAGTAAATATGCTATCACTAATCATACACATTAACATCAAAGCTTTGGCACACTAATTCCACCGCCTGCTAGTCTGCATCTTCAATGGAAGTTAAGATTGCAAATCCCACCTAGACATCCAAGGACCAAACACAGCACTGATTTTCCTGCATTTCTCAACTGGGAGGCTGAAGGAGCTAAATGAGGAATTAATTATGGCAATGAGACAAATCTCATTTGTGCCTTACTAGTGGATTTCTGCACAGCTAGGGATTAATCCATATTGTCTTGAAGAAAGGCCTTCCCAAATGGTGATCCTATGAATCTATGTTGCTGGAACATATTCACTTAGAGCCATATGTTTACAGCTGCAGGTAAGTACATTTTGCAAGCAAGCCCCAGTTTAGAAAGTTGCTTTTTTCATAGAAGCTAACATTTTACGTTTGAGTCAATATTTGTTAAAGTATCACTTCGAGAGAAAAGCTTATTACTGGGGTGTTGTGTGCTTTCCAGGCTGCATGGTAGTGTTCTCACAGCATTCTCTCCTGGCATTTCGCCTGTATCTGTGGCTGGCATCTTCAGAGGATTGGAAGCCACAAGTGCAGCCACAGGTGCAGGCGAACCATCAGGAGGAACTGCTGCTAGAACACAGCCATACAGCCCCAAAACCACAGTGATTCCAGTCATAAAAGCGTTTGACAATACAAAAGCTTATTATAATCCTAGTTCTCAAAATTGTAACTACAACCCAAAATCTGCTATAAGCCATTTACAAACAACACTTTTCTCCTGTCTGCCCTCTCCATTTCCTCCATATGCACAATAAAACATTTGCAGCAGTCTGGATTTGTACTATGTGATAGTCTTCCTCCGCCATTTAGTGAGGCCACACCCCACAGCTCATAAACTAACTAAAACAACTAATTAAAATTTTTAATTCAGTTATGCCTTTAAGAAATTAATTGGTAGTACTTGGGCATGTTGAGCTAGTTGCATCCAGGCACTGTGAGGCTCTACTCAGCAAGATCAGTCTCACGTCTGTAATGAAATCCAGCAACTGTGGGGAAATTCCTGATAGCTGCAGAAGAAAGCATTTAACAATAATTGAGCTCCATTTCAATTATGTAGGCAGAGAGTTATCTTATAAAATGCACAAAGTAATGGTTTAGCAAAGATTTCTCTTTAGGAATTCAAATACCACAAGCTGTGCCACTGAAGAGGCAGTAGAGAGTTTGGTGTTGCATTTATGTTCTCCCAGGATGGACTAAACTCTTGCTGTTTGCCACTCTAGTTAGAGAATAGGATGGTTCCTTTTTCAATAGGAGTTATGGTACAGTACCTACATTGATCTGTAGATAAACCAAGATTTTTGCATTGATTTTAACTAATATTTATAGACTTAAACAGTAGGATCCATATTTCCAAAGGAGTTACAGTCAGTCCTCCATGCCCACAGGTCCTGCATCCATGGATTCAACCAGCCACAGCATGAAAATGTTTGGGGGGAAATTCAAAAAGGAATTTTTGATTTTGCCAAGTGCTGAGCACTACACTGATGTGTAGGTATACCTGCTCACCATTTCACAAATCAAGGCTCTCTCCAGAATTGGTCATTTCATATAAAGGATTTTACTACCCTGTTGAATGTAATGGACATGAGCATTCATGGATTTGAGCATCCAAACTCCAGCAGATACCAAAGGCTCAGTGTATTCTTTTCCTCATATGGTAATATGGTACGGGAAAGCCAAAACCGAGAAAAGTTTCGGTAATCACTTCATACGATCTTCTCTACTGAAAGTATGGGAAAAATACTAGGAAAGCTTCTACGGGGAAACACCAATGTGGATATCTCCACTCGAGGCCTCTTGTAGGAGGATAATAGGTTGGAACAAATGGCCTAACTACAAAGATATACTGAAAAGAGAAGAAGGAAAAATCAAGATGAAGACACAGCAGGAATTAAACAACATAAACAAAATGATATCATGGTATCAATATTGGCAGATAAAAGATCATTTCAAAAAAGATGTTAAAAAAAGATGTTAAAAACCCCTTACTGTTAAAAAATCCCTAATAAAAATATTTTTAAAAAAGAGAGAGAGAGAGAGAGAGAGAAAAGAAAGACAAAGAAACAGGATTTGAAGTGAAGGAAAATTTTGGGATAAAATAATGCAAACCAAAAGTAAATTGATTTCTAAAATATACAAAAAGCTTTTAGAAGGGACATGAGGAACAGAGGAAGAGAAAGGCTATATGAAGAGAAGGAGAGAAAACATAGGGAGAACCATAAAAAAAGAGGAATGGGAAGAGATATGGAACAAGGAATTAAAATATACAAGTGCAAACGGAATTAAAAGAAAATTGGATCAAAATGGCCCATAGATAGTATATAACCCCACATAAACTAGGGAAATATTATACAAACGCCAATTCGAAATGTTGGAAATGTGGAGAAATCAAAGGAACATATTACCATCTATGGTGGACATGCAACAAAGCAAGAAGTTACTGGAAGAAGATCCAAAAAGCACTACAAGAAATGCTTGGAATTGACATTCCTAGGAAACCAGAAACATTCCTACGTGGACTACACAATCTAAAAATGGATAAAAACAAAGAAATTTGCATTAGATTGACTGCATCAGCTCTAGTTTTTTAGAAATGGCATGTCAAAGGACTAGAAAATTTTACTATAAACCTGTGCTTGTGGTATGAAATTAGGACTTCATATGGGGGCTTTATGTATTTTTATGTTTCATTTACACTTCAAATAAAATAATTTAAATACTAAATTATTTGTTATGGGTGAGCAGAGTGAAGAGTGGTGTATGGCATATGTTCTCAAAAACTTGTGTTATTTTTTTTTAATTAGTAGGTCAAATATATCCAGGAACAGGTCTAACTTCTGAGGCACCAAAATGTGTGTTGGCAAGTGATTACATTTGCCCAGGTGGAATCTTTGCTTTCCTTGTTGATTCACACAAATGAGCTAACAGAAGAATGATCACAATACAACAGCGTCTCTCAACCTGGAAGTCAAAACCCTGGGGGGGGGGGGAGTTGGTGTCAGAGGGGTCGCCAAAGACCATCAGAAAACACAGTATTTTCTGTTATGGCTGGGGATCAGCACCCCATGAAGAACTGTATTAAGGGATTGCAGCATTAGGAAGGTTGAGAACCACTGCCCTACAAGAAGAGTGGACAATCTTTTTCACCCAGAGAAATACATGCTGCTTTTCCAGGACTACACATCTAAAACTGTCAATATGCACATAAGCAAAACCATTCTTATTCTTCAGTGATCTCAAAAGTATCGGCACAGTTTGAGGGAGAAGATCACATTTCTGGCATCATCCTGCTATAAGAAGTGAGGAAAAAGCAATCTTGGCTACATCAAGATTTCAAGAAGAGGAATTTATAATAGGTCACGAAATGCATTCTCCAACCCATTGCCCAGCTGATGGCTGACCAGTTGAGTTGGCCTGCAGCAAAACATGGATGACAATACATACTCTACACAGAGAATATCCAATGGCTACATCGGAGCTCTGGGCCACATCCTAGCCACAAGAATGATAATCTTGGCCTTCTGTATCATCACACCTTCTGAATTATAACTATTCATCACAGGCAGTAAGAACACTTCTTGCTGCTAAATCAGGGAAAATCTAGTACCAACATTTACCCTGACAAACACAGAAGGCTATAATAAACATCCAGGCTGATTAAAATGGCCAGAAATTTCCAGATATTGTCCCTGTTCTTTCCAATTTTATTTTTGAAGGTTCTTCCCCTTTTCCAAACATTTCCTGTCTGATCAGAGACTTTTTAGCTTCTCAGTTTGGATTATTTTAACCCAGTACAAAATCAGAAAAAAATGAACAATAAGACTTTTCAAAGGAGGGGGAGCAAAGGCCTCTGTGTATTTTCAGTCAGGCTGGATGCAATGCTAGACATGTGATTCTTCCACTTTCTAGACTCTGGCACACAGAGAAAGCATTCAAGCTCCATGAATCCCATCATGTAATTTCCTTACATGCGCAGATAAGTCTTTCAAGCCAGTTAAGTAGATATGCCAAGCGTCTGAATGAAACGATGTCACAGAGGGTTTACTAATCCTGTTGCTAGCATAGATTGCTTCAAAGAAAAGGGATTGGTTTATTTGCCTCTGCCTACAAGGAAGAAACTTCCAAGCTTGTTCACTTCAAGCCACCAGAGTTGACAAGGAGCTTGGTCATTCATCACTGTATCGTGTGCACGTTTTCTCAAGTTACCAGGGCAAGGGAGGTGAATTTTCAGCATGGTGGATTTCAAACAAAGCTCTGCAGTGCAATTGAAAAATAATATGATTGGGTCAGGCCAGTCCAACCTTATTAAAAAAGAGAACAGGTCAATATAATTTGAAATCCCAGAGACTATGACGCTTTAATTAGGTGCTTTTGTTCATGCACAATAACAGTCCTGTAGCAATGTTCTTATTTGGCCTCTTGAGTTCGTAATATACCAAGACAGCAAATTAAAAATGAGCTTCAAATAATAATGTACTTGCCCATTATTCACAGTATTCATCCTCATGACTTCCAAAGCCAGTGTATCAGAAAAAAAGAATAAAGTGCACTAAAGTTTTCTGAAGCTGTCCTACAGAGTCCCTCTCACATATAATAAATACAGCAGAAATCATAATCAGTACAAACCCATTTCCTAGTTATCCCGATGCAGATGGATTCAGCACAATGTCCAGATAACCCAAAATTTGGCACTAGAGACAGCCTTTCTCTTCAAAACATGTTGCAGCTGTTTGTTTGGAATACATCTCACCACCATGTATACCAAATGCAGTCTTGAGTACAACCCTGGAGCTCATCTTCATGAATTGTCCTACATTTTTGGTGCCATCATTGTAAGTTCCTGCTCTAGTCTCGTTACAGTAACTCTTGCTCTTCATCTTCAGATCCAGACGGTCCTTGTCGCACCTCCTCGTACCATTTGTTGGTGAGGCTTTTCATCTGTATGCGACCATGGTGTAAGTCCTAAGCCAAAAGAAAAATGGCAGACTTATAGACAGGCAGCACTTCTATCTTTGCACAGCAGTTGTGAGCTCTGTTCAAATTAAGCAAGGGTGACATGTGAATGCAAGACAAAGTATTAAAAATTATAAAGTGAGATTATTAAATATATCATTACAATGGCAGTATTTACGACTAAACCAAATTAGCCAGGGGACAAAGCTCCATTGCCAGGAAAAATTCTCTCTACAAACCTCAAGATTCCTTGAGATTCAGCCATTCTAACTAATGTGAATTCACAATGCTAAAACTGTGCAATGTCAAAGCGTCCTTTAAAAAGGTAAAGGTTTCCCCTTGACATTAAGTTTAGTCGTGTCTGACTTGGGGGGGGGGGGGTGGGTATGCTCGTCTCCATTTCTAAGCCAAAGAGCCAGCGTTGTCCGTAGACACCTCCAAGGTTATGTGACAGCATGGAATGCCGTTATCTTTCCTCCGAAGTGGTACCTATTGATCTACTCACATTTGCATGTTTTTGAACTGCTGCACTGGCAGAAGTTGGGACAAACAACAGGAGCTAACCCTGCTCCCTGGATTTGAACCGCCAACCTATCAGTCAGCAAGTTCAGCAGCTCAGCGGTTTAACCTGCTGTGCCACTGGGGGCTCTGAAAGAGTCCTTAGGTATGTAGAAATGAGGTGAGGATGAGGAGATGCATGGAGAACACCCTTATCTATAAATCTTTCATGTACCAAGGGTTGCGCTCTGTAAATAGCTTTGCAGAGATCAAGAAAGCTCTTTATGCCACTGTTTATTAAGCCAAATGTGACTACTATGGTTTTGGGCTTGAAAGCTGGGTGCAAGCAGAGGTTGCTAACCTGCTGAGGTTATCACATAAACAGAACCCACCTCTTGCGTGAGCCGCCGGGTAAAAAAAGGATTCAAGTATTTGACATCAAGCCACATAAAGCCTTTGAGGTCCTGGCGCTTGATGTAGTGTGCTTCATACTCTTCCTCTGTAAGTTCAGACAGATGTTCAGATTCAATTGTGTTGCCCTGGAAAGAGCAAAAAAGGTGGGAAAGGAATGGGAATGATTATCTAGGTGTAAAATAACTGTTGCTTCAGTTACTCCTTGTCTTCTCTTAAATTCCTTACTTTATTTATTAAAGCTAAAACAACAAAAACAACAGCAAAACAACAAAATACAATGTAGGAAATTAAAAAAAACAGCCAGAGAATGACGCATCAACATAACGAAAACTATTGCCACTTACTGCATTCATAATAAATAAATAATGCATTCAGAATTACTGCAGGCTTGAATTGCACCTGGTTTGAGGACATAAGCTCCATCTCTAACATCTCCAGTTCATTAAACCTAAGAGGGATCTTAGTTATACATCTACTATGATCAGAAAGGATAGGTTTCTCACCTCTAACTGTGGTTCTTTTATGTCATCATCGAACAGATGGGTTTCATACCTGTACAAAGCCAACCACAGAATGTTCCAGAGCTGAATAGCTTTTCACGGTAACTCTGTCCTTTGGGCACCAGTATAAGCAGTGCCAAGAATGACTCCCTTTCAAAGTTCGTCCATTTGTGTGAGGCACAGAGACCATGAAGAAGAACCAATCTGACTAGAGTCCCTGTTCATGGGATCTTTCAAACGGCGTATAGTTAAAGTGAGCTAAATGTGATTACAGAACTCTCTTCGAATGCCTTTCAAACATTTATTTATTGTGTAAGAAGTGAATTGGGAATACAGTTATAATGTATAAAAAAAACACAAAGTTAAAAACTTGGTATTATTATAAATTTCCTTTAAACAGAAGCTGGCCACTTCGAGTGCTTCTGGTGTTGCTGTGAGAAAGTCCTCCATTGTGCTTCTGGCAAGGCTAAGATCACATTGTAGTAGAGGCTCTGTGGATTGCTCTTCTCCACACTCACATGTCATGGACTCCACTTTGTAGACCCATTTCTTTTTTATATATATAAATTATTTTTATTAAGGTTTTTTTTACAGGGTATGTTAAAAAGAAAGGATTCTCCAAGGACAAGCCGGGGTAGGTTTGAAGGTTAAGAGTGAGCATAAGGGTGATAGTGGAGAAGGGCTAGAGAAGGGAAAAGGGATGGGATTGGGTTGGGGTATCTAACTTCCAATCATCTTCACATCGGTGATGTCATTCTTTGAGTAATCTCTTTTGTTAACGGCTGTTTTAATGTAGCCCCATTTCTTAAGATTGGCTTTGCATCTCGTAGTGCCAGAGCATAGTATATTCAGCACCCTTCACGTTTCCCAGTTTTCTGTGTGTCCAGGAGGGAGTTTCTCATCCAGTATCAGCCACAAATTGAGATTCTGGGTTTTAACCTGCCACTTTTGGACTCTCACTTGCTGAGGTGTTCCTGCGAGTATCTCTAGATCTTAGGAAGCTATTTCTTGATTTAAGACATTGGCTTGCTAGCAGATATCCGAACAGGATATCCGAACAGGGGATGGGCCGAAGATGTCAATGCCTTGGTCCTTTTATTATAGTCTGCTACTCCCAATAGATGTCAGGCGGTGCAATACCAGCTAAACAGTGTAATTTCTCCAGTAGTGTAGGGCGTTAACATTCTGTGATAATGCGGTATGTCTCATTAAGAGCTACATCTGCTAATTTAACATGGTGAGATGCATTCCACACTGGGCGTGCGTATTCAGGAGCAGAATAGCAAAGCGCAAGGGCAGAGGTCTTCACTGTATCTAGTTGCAATTCCCAGGTTGTGCCAGTCAGCTTTCATATGATATTATTTCTAGCACCCACTTTTTGTTTGATATTCAAGCAGTGCTTCTTGAAAGTCAGAGCACGGTCCAGGGTAACTCCCCAGTATTTTGATGTGCAAAACTCCAGTGGGATTCCTTCCCAGGTAATAATCAGACAAACACTGTCTGTACTTTCAAACACTGAATGCACCAGAAATAATCCTAAATCACAGTTTATGTAATTTAAGAGCTGTTGATAACACTAATTATGATTTAGGTCAAGGGTGGGGAACAATTTTCAATCCAAGGTATCAATTCAATGTTCCTGGGAAACATTTCTTTGGTGGGAACACAATGTCAGTATGTTTTAGCATAAAGCCCTTCCTGTCAGTAAGCAAAATGTTGTATTGTCTGTCTTTTAGTAATCTTTTAGAAATTGTGTGTTTGAGGCAAGGTGGAGGGGGGGGGGGGCAGAATCCAAAAGTTGGAAAATGCCAAAATTGGGGTTTGATACGTGGTCTCCTCTTGCCGATTAAAAGAAAAAACACAGACTGGTCAATGATAGCACTTGTATATTTGTTCCGTTGTTTCCAACTCTTCATGACCTCATGGACCAGCCCACGCCAGAGCTCTGTCAGCTGTGGCCACCCCAGTTCCTTCAAGGTCAAGCCAGTCACTTCAAGGATCCCACCCATCCATCTTGCCCTTGGTCGGCCCCTCTTCCTTTTTCCTTCCATTTTCCCCAGCATTATTATCTTCTACAAGCTTTCCTGTCTTCTCATTATATGGCCAAAGTACTTCATCTTTGCCTCTAGTATCTTTCCCTCTAGTGAGCAATTGGGCATTATTTCCTGGACTGGTTTGATCTTCTTGTGGTCCAAGGCACTCTCAGAATTTTCCTCCAACACCACAGTTCAAAAGTGTCTATCTTCCTTCACTCAGCCTTCCTTATGTTCCAACTCTCACATCCATAGGTTATTATGGGGAATGCCTGCAAAGGACTGTAACCTTGTAGCGCTGCTAGAACATGAGTACCTCATTGATGCCATGAGCAAATCCCAAGACAGGAAGGTCATGTCAAAGAGGTCAGACTAAATATGATCTCTGGGGAAGGGAGTGGCAACCCACTCCAGTATTCTTCCCATGAAAACTAAATGGATCAGTACAACCAGAGATATGTCAGTATACCATCGAAAGATGGCACTCTGAGATTGGAAGATGGTCAAAATGCTACCGGGGAAGAACAGAGGATAAGTTCAACTAGCCCCAAATTTATTTATTTATTTATTTATTTATTTACTTTACTTGAATACCGCAGTTTCTCAGCCTAACTGGCGACTCAACGCGGTTTACAACAAGATAAAATCAATCAACGATATACAATTTAAAACCATAGAAGCACAATATACAATATTAACACAGCAATAACAACACAATGCATCTCATAGCTAAAGTCGTGATCCAAATTCGTCGTCCATATTTCCATTCCTGTAATCGTCACATTCATTGCACTGATTAACCAAATGCCTGTTCAAACATCCAAGTTTTTAATCTTTTTCGAAACACCATTAGCGAGGGGGCTGATCTTACCTCCATGGGAAGGGCGTTCCACAGCCGAGGGGCCACCACAGAAAAGGCCCTGTCTCTCGTCCCCGCCAGCCGCACCTGTGAAGCAGGCGGGATAGAGAGCAGGGCCTCCCCAGAAGATCTTAGGGTCCTGGCGGGCTGATAGGCAGAGATACGTTCGGATAGGTAGCTTGGGCCAGAACCGTTTAGGGCTTTAAAGGCCAACGCCAGCACTTTGAATTGAGCCCGGTAGCAAATCGGCAGCCAGTGGAGCTGGTGCAGCAGAGGAGTGTATGCTCCCTGCGCTCCGCTCCTGTTAGTATCATGGCTGCCGAGCGTTGGACTAGTTGGAGCTTCCGAGCTGTCTTCAAAGGCAACCCCACGTAGAGAGCGTTGCAGTAGTCTAAACGGGATGTAACCAGAGCGTGGACTACCGTGGCCAAGTCAGACTTCCCAAGGTACGGGCAGTTGGCGCACAAGTTTTAACTGTGCGAATGCTCCCCTGGTCACCACTGAAACCTGGGGTTCCAGGCTCAGCGATGAGTCCAGGATCACACCCAAACTGCGAACCTGCGTCTTCAGGGGGAGTGCGACCCCATCCAACACAGGCTGTAACCCTATACCCTGTTCGGCCTTACGACTAACCAGGAGTACCTCTGTCTTGTCTGGATTCAGTTTCAATTTGTTCGCCCTCATCCAGACCGTCACAGCGGCCAAGCACCGGTTCAGGACCTCGACAGCCTCCTTAGTAGCAGGTGGAAAGGAGTGACAGAGTTGGACATCATCTGCGTACAGATGACATCGCACTCCGAAACTCCGGATGATCTCACCCAGCGGCTTCATGTAGATGTTAAACAACATGGGAGACAGTATTGAACCCTGAGGAACCCCACAAGACAAAGGTTGTGGGGTTGAACAGGAGTCTCCCAGTAACACCTTCTGAGACCGACCCTCGAGGAATGAGCGGAGCCACTGCAAAACAGTACCTCCAAGACCCATCCCTGTGAGGCGTCCCAGAAGGATACCGTGGTCGACGGTATCGAAGGCCGCTGAGAGGTCCAGCAGCACCAACAGGGACACACTCCCCCTGTCGAGCTCCCGGCGCAGATCATCGATTAAGGCGACCAAGGCTGTCTCGGTACCATGCCCCGGCCTAAAGCCAGACTGTGCCGGATCCAGATAATCCGTGTCTACCAAGAATGTCTGGAGTTGTGAGGCCACCACACGTTCCAGGACTTTGCCCAAGAAGGGGAGATTGGAAACAGGCCGATAGTTGACGAATTGAGTGGGGTCCAGTGATGGTTTTTTCAACAGCGGTTTTATAACAGCTTGTTTTAAGCTGGCTGGAATTATGCCTTCCCGAAGGGAGGCATTAACCACCACCTTTACCCACTCAGCCAATCCCCCTCTGGCCTCCTTTAGAAGCCAGGATGGGCAGGGGTCTAGGATGCATGTGGTAGCTCTCATTCCTCCAAGCACCTTGTGATGGCGCAGCTAGCCGAAAGGAAGGCTAGCAACCGACAGTGCTGGAGGTGAACAATGAATCCGATGTTTTAAAGAACAACACACTATAGGAACCTGGGGTATAAGAATATAAGTCAGGGCAAACTGGATGTTGTTATTGGTGAGATGTCAAGATTAAAGATAGACATTCTGGGGGTCGGTGAACTGAAATGGACTGGAATGGGCCACTTCACAACAGCTGACCACCAGATCTACTACTGTGGACAAGAGGAACACCGAAGAAATGGAGTAGCCTTCATAATTAATGATAGCACAGCCCAACATAAAAACAATGTTCTCGGTGTCTTCGTTTTTAGACCTGTTTCTGGGGCTACTTGGAGTGCTGAATTGGATATCAATTCTAATTTCTTAGATACGGTTATCATGGTTTTCCATTGGTGAGCAGATGGCAACTGGCATATGCCATATGTTCTGTATCTCAAAAGCTAGAGCTGATAGGAGGAAACTGGCACTATTTTTTGAATCAGCAAATCAAATATGCCCAGAAAGGAGACTAATATTTGAGGCACCAAAATGTGTATTGGCCAGTGTAATGTGTAGTCGGTTAGTTTCCCCAAACAATGCATGTACAAATATCGCACTTTGGTTGCATAAAGTGTGGCTCTACCTTTTGAATATTTTTTTTCAAATGGAGTCATTTTCTCAATATACTTGTCTACCTTTGAAGCCAGCAACACAACAGTTCAGGCAAAACCAGGTATTCTGCAGTATTTCTGCTCTGGCACGATAGCAGATTTAAATAAGCTGTGGTCTTTCAAAAATTCTTTCCACCTTCCTCTGATTCTAGCTATGCATTTTTCCCAGATCTTAACTGCCTGCCAATAATTTACAATTGCTGCTTATCAGCAATGTACACCCTGCCCTCTCTGACTCACTGTCTATGTGTGATTATCATCCATTTATATGTGACTCAGTCCATCCAGTGGTACTGAATATGAATTTCAATTGGAATGTTATTTTACTTAAAGGTGGCTGACTGATAATTAGATTGCATCATAGGCACTCCTTGAATGTTGAAATAGCTCTTTCAGCCATTGCATTGAAGTATGGAGAATATGTATGCAGAACAATATTAAGGGGAATCACAATTTTACACTCCCTCCTCTGTCTTAATTCACATATAACCCATGATGCAATGACAGAGCTCTATGAAAGATAAGAATCAGTCATGCTTATGCTTGGAATAAGAAATACTTACCATTTTTTCTGTCTTGCTGAGGTTAATATCCTTCTTGTTCTTTCGCCTTGCTTTTGAGTCTTCAATATCAATCAGTCTGATTAAAGGCATAGTTCCTCCACCCAACAACAAGATTGTAAACAATACAATGATGATTGTCGTGGTTCCAATAAGCTGCCGCTTCTCTATTGGCTCCAACCCTAAATGGAGGCTCAATGCATAAGGAATTGCTCCACGTAAGCCTAATAAAAAGAAGAAAGAAGCAAAAGCAATGTCTGGTCTTGATGCCACCCAATATTATGACATTACTTGTTGCTTTAAGATTAATTTCAACACGAGGTAACACCCTAGTTTCCTAGGGCTCTATTTTCAAAGATTTATTTATCATATCAGAAGCAAACTGACAGTTGTAATGTATTTAAAAAAAACACACACACAAAGTTTAAAAACTTGACATTATACTAGATTTCCTTGGACCAGTAGCTGGCCACTTGGAGTGCCTCTGGGGTTGCTGTGAGAAGGTCCTCCATTGTGCATGCGCAAATATAGGTGGTCTGTGGTTTGCTCTTCTCCACACTCGCATGTTGTGGACTCCATTTTGTGGCCCCATTTCTTAAGGTTGGCTCTGCATCTTGTGATGCCAGAGCACCATCTGTTCAGTGCCTTCCAAGTCACCTAGTCTTCTGTGTGCCCAGGGAGGAGTCTCTCATTCGGTATCGGTCATGCCTTGAGGTCCTGGGTTTCAGCCTGCCACCTTTGGACTCTTGCTTCCTTTGAAAACTATTTCTTGATTTAAGGCTTTGGTGTGCTGGCTGATATCTGAACAGGGGATAGGATGAAGATGTCACTGCCTTGGTCCTTTCATTATTGGCTGCTACTTCCTGGCGAATGTCAGGTGGTATCATTTCTCCAGTGGTGTTGAGCGTAGACATCCTGTGATAATGTGGCATGTTTCATTAAGAGCCACATCCACTGTTTTAGCATGGTGAAATGTGTTCCATACTTGCTGTTTTGCAGAATAGCAAAGCACAAGGGCAGATGTCTTCACTGTACTTGGTTGTGATCCCCAAGTTGAGCCAGTTGAGCCACCTTTCGTATGATATTGTTTCGAACACCCACTTTTTGCTTGATATTCAAGCAGTGCTTCTTGTAGGTCAGAGCACGGTCCAGGGTAACATAGCATATGGATAATGCAAGGTCCAGCCAATAGAAACTTCATGGTTGCTCACCCTGGTGTGCATCAATGGTGCTATATGAAGAAACAAACAAGAATAGAATAGTCTAAAAATATATATCAACTTACCACTAAACCACATGATGAACATCATTTTGGGAGTGATTTTGTGATCACGGAAGAAATTGAGCAGGTAGGAGAGTGGGAAAATATTGACAGCTCTGCCAAAAAGCACAAGCACCTGTCAAAGACAATCAAATTATAACAGGCCTACAAGGGAGCATTGTAAGGATATTACAGAAGTCTAAATAACAAATAGCATGTGAGGAGAGGAATTTGGAAACACTGTTACGATCACCTCCCAAATAGCTGTACTCTTATCTTGCAAAAATTCCAGTCACTAACTTCCTGTGAGTGAAATTAAACTGTGCCAAATTGTAGATACATATTTGAAAGTCGCCAGACAGATTTCCACTAATAATAAGTGAACAGAAAGCCAAGGCACTATTATATGCTAAGGAATATAATCCACCCAGAGTCCTTGTGGGGAGATAGGGCGGAATATAAATAAAGCATTGTTGTTGTTGTTGTTGTTGTTGTTTGACTCCGATCTTTTTATCATAGCCACAAGACTTTTTGCTGCCTGAAAAAATGGCAAGATTTCCTTTCTCATTGTATGTACAGAAACTGACTAGTTAATGGGGTGGCATGGAAACTTCCACTATGTGAGAGACAGTATAGCAACCCTCCACAGGTGGGCTTGACTTTTGTGGATTTGATTACACTATGTAACACGATTTTTGTTCCTGGATTTTAAATGTCATTTTCTAATGGTTCTATCATAAAAACATGGAAAAAGTTTATTAAACTACAAAAGCTTTGTTTTTGCGGGATGTCCTGCAGCACACGTTTTCGATGACTATCTCATAGAGTCTCAACCAATTTAACATAGTTTGTGGCAGCCACAAAAACAAAGTTTCTGGAGTGTAACAACTACTTTGAAATTAAGTACAGCACAAATAAACAGGAAATAACACTTTCAGACCAGGAACAGATTTTTTTTTTCAAATTTTGTTACATAGTGTTATTTGTGGACTTGATTAAAATGTTTTCTCTGGGAATTTTTAAGTCTTCCCCTATAACCCTATGATCAATTTCCACTGGGAATCATGCTCCATGACCTAGAAATTCATAGAGAGGTGTTCGCTCAGGTAAAAAAAAATTAATACTACTTTCATTTGCATTTTCCCACTTTTGCAAGGCTCCTGGGCCTCTAATCCTAGATAATGTGGCTGTAAATTCAGTGGGTTCAGGACAGGCCATTGGGAATGTACTGCTCTGTCCTCCAGCAAAGGAAGGCATCCAGTGAGCTCAGACGGGACAAGCCACCTCACCATCTGCCACTTGAGGCACTTCTCTTAGGACCTCTTCACACTGGGGTTTTTATGGTCCCCTTTCCCTCTTCTGCATAGGGTCTGCTAAGCATCATAAACAATGCTGGTATGGTCCTGCCCCCATTTCTCCTGAAATCACAAGATGTGTGATGCATCGGTGAATAATACGTGCAGATCCGAGTAGGGTGGCCTTTTGCAGATGACAAATGGTAATTTTGTCAATTTTTATTGTTTTTAAGTGCAGACCAAGGTCTTTAGGCACTGCACCCAGTGTGACGATCCCCAATGGGACCACCTTTACTGGTTTGTGCCAGTCTTTGCAGTTCTATCTTTAAATTATTATTATTATTATTATTATTATTATTATTAGAAACACAACAAGAGGAGTCCACAGCAGACACTCTGTTGGCTGTTGTATTGGATCACACTTCGGACACTTCCCAAGTGTCTAGGACTGTGTGATATATCAGCGAATAATGCATGCAGATCCCAGTAAGGTGGCCTTTTGTAGCTGGCAGATGGTAATTTTGTCGGTGCCGATTGTGTTTTAAGTGCAGGCCAAGGTCTTTAGGCACTGCACCCAGTGTGCCGATCACCACTGGGACCACCTTTACTGGTTTGTGCCAGTCTTTGCAGTTCAATTTTTAAATCCTCATATCGTGTCAGCTTTTCCAGTTGTTTCTCTGCAATCCTGCTGTGACCTGGGATTGTGACATCGACGATCCATACTTTGTTTTTTTAACACAATTGTGAAGTCAGGAGTATTATGCTCCAAAACTCTGTCTGAATCCAGAAGTCCCAGAGGAGTTTTGCGTATTCATTCAACTTTTTCCAGCTTGTGATCCCACCAGTTAGTTGTCGCAGGCAGATGGTATTTGTGGCACAAGTTCCAATGAATCATCTAAGCAATGGTGTTATGCCTCTGCTTGGAGTCTGTCTGCGCGATCTTCTTGCAGCAACTTAGGATGTGATCTATTGTTTCATCTGCTTCCTTGCAGAGTCTACATTTGGGATCTGTTGTTAATTTTGCAATCCTGGCTTTGATGGCATTGGTTCAAACGGCTTGTTCTTGGGCTGCCAGAATCAGGCCCTCCGTCTCCTTTTTCAGAGTTCCATTTGTGAGCCACAGCCATGTTTTTTTTCTGTCAATTTGGCTCTCAATTTTTCCCAGGAACTGTCCATGGAGAGCCTTCTTTTGCCAGTTTTCTCTTCTGCTCTGGATTGTGTTTTTACGGTATTCCCTCTTTGTCTTTTGCACTTTAAGCAGTTTACTACTATTGACTTCCCTCAATGTTGGTTCATGACTGTCTTTCACATAATCTGTCAGTGCATGTTTCTCTTCTTTTACTGTTTGTTCCACTTGCAGAAGCCCTCTACCTCCTGATTTTCTGGGCAGGTAAAGTCTGTTGACATCACTATGCGGGTGTAATGCGTAGTGGATTGTCATCAGTTTTCTTGTTTTTCTGTCCATTATTATAATATTATTATCATTATTATAATAATGATAATAATAATTATCATTATTATTACATTTGTGGGAGTTAGGGGTGGAGGGCACTTGCAAAAGTGGAAAAAAATGAATACGGCAAAAGAACTGCCATTTACTTTTACCTGAAAAAAACAGGAATCTCCATAGAATCCCCTTGGAGACAAAATTCACAAATCATCAAAGCCACACAATTAAACCTGCAAATGTGAAGGGCCAACCAACTGCAATACTCCTGAAGAAGCAATGGTTACTTAGCCCTTCCTGCTTTGCTAACATGAGAGAGCAACAGAAGTGGGACCTTATCATCAACATCCATAAGATCAGAGCTTGCACCAATGGTGTAAACAGGAATGAGACTTAGATGAGTTTTGGCTTAATCATGCAATATTAACTCTTACGGTCCCAACTAGGACCAAATATTTTGGCCCCTTCGTTTTCACCCTAGTGGTAACAAGACAAATTCAAAATGTTTGAAAATGCAAAGCTACATCATACTATTAGACTTATTTTGGAATTAAACATATTGGGGTTCAAACCCAGGACTTTCTGCATGAAAAGAATCTGTCCTAACACTGACCTAAATTTTAATGCATTCACATTTGTAAAACCTCATACAAACAGCACTGGATTGTTATGGAGTACAAAGTGCAACACAGCGTGCTTGCAAAGAGCAGTTATTCCAGTTTCCACCACAGTTTGTCTTATGAATAAATATCCTGTAGGCAAAATCAGTTGTGACTACAAATGGTCCGCCTTTTAACCTCAAAATAAACAGCTATATAAACACTGTGCTCACCCTGAGGGCACTCCCTGATGGCTCCACTGGGTAGTGAAATGTGGCAGGCTCAAGGAGTAGCCATTCTTTCCAAGTCTCTGCCAGAAAAATCTTGATTTGAGTTATAATGGGCTCTGGCTTGTCACACATAATATAGGTTGATCTTGACAGAAGGGGGTTGCAAGCAAGAAGGGAATGGGCATTAATACCCACTAATACTTACTATGCACCAAATGACAAAGGACGCTTCAAATTTGTGAGGAAAACTAAAAATCGACAGCCCTAGAAATGCAAAAACGCATGTTTCTGAAAGAGAGAAGACACAAGTAAGTACTCAAGCGAGACTACACTGAACAATTCAAACCATATACGCAACCTTTGTAGTTTATGAATTCTGATGTCATTTTCAAAACGAAATAACTCTGGGATTTTTCTTCCATTAAAAGAAATGCTCGATATATGCAGCTGCATAAACAATCAAGGAACTGATATAAGGTGATATCTCTTTCCTTTCTCACTCAACCTTTCTCCAAGTAGGACTAGGAGATAGCTCTTATACCATTCTGGATGTCTATCTATTCTTCTCATGTCCCCTATCCAGTTATCTTGCCTCAATGATGCAACATCTGTGTATCTATATATTTTCTTTTGATCTCTGAGTGGAGTATTTCATTTCCCGCATTTCCCTTTTTCTGCTATAAAAAAGAAAGTGAAAGCTGGGGGACTGGTATATTTTTAGTTGCCTGCCATAATATTTTCGCCAACTATCTTGTTTACTGAAACTAAATAGAGAGGGACAAGAATACAATACATATTGTATTGTATCTCCAGTATCCAAAAGGATGAAAATCAATTTACTGGATATTTTAAAAAATAGATAATACATTTTGGGTGCACCTTCACATAAATGTTTTTGGACTCACTGAACAGATTTGATATGTATGTCAGAAAACCACACATACAGGCCTCTACTATAACATACTTTCAGCTTTCAAATGACATTTACAGAACAAAATAGACCTACAAAGCTGAATTTCTGATAGTCGACATGCCACTTACTGAGAGATATCACATTAATTTTGGGTACAGTGAGCTGCAAACAGACTGTGTCTGGAAGACTCTAGGACCAAATTACTGAACAAGATGTTCCACTCTGCTTTATATAAGTTTCACAGCATGCCAAGTAGATTTGCAGTCCACCAATAACCTACAACATTCTAGCTCTGGATTTCCCGATTTTATCAGGAAATTCTAGAGTTAATAGGATCTAGCTATTCCATTCTATTGATTTGTATTCAGATGTACATCACATCTCACTGAAGCCAAGATGGCTCATTCCCAGTAAGCAGGCCCGTAGCCAGGATTTCGTTTCGGGGGGGGGGGGGGGGGTTGGGGGGGGGCTGAGTTTCGGGGGGGCTGAGTCTGAGTGAAAGAGGGTCTAGCTTAGCAAACCTTTTGTATCATTACCCCAATACCCCCATGCATATGGGATATATTGAGTATGGTGATCAGATCATGATATGAATAAACATAACAGTTTAAATAATGCACCAGTAAGGCCTTTTCGAACCACCATGAGAATTTCGGGGGGGGGGGGGCTGAAGCCCTCAACCCCCCCCCCCCCCCCCATCCCCCTGGATACATGCCTGCCAGTAAGTATATAAGTTTGCAGCCTTGGTCAAGTGGATTAATTGTAAGCTGCCACAAAAAATGTTTTCTGAAGCATTGTTATATGAAGAATCCTAGAGATTTCCTTTACACATATAATTAGGAATGTGATACAAATCAATGCAAGCATCAACACTTAAACAGTCATCTATATTTCATTATGGGCAAAGTAGTCTTGATATTCCTATATTTTCAAATGTGTATGAAAACATACAGTTTAATAGGCATATGCAACTCTAAGTTTTGCTTATTTCACATCCAAATTCAAGATCACCTAGTGAAATCAACTGGCAACAGGTTTATGGCAGAGTATAAAAGCCATTGCTTTAGCAGCTGATGAGAACCCAGATGGTAATTCAAAAGGAGGAAAAAACACATAGAGGCTAAGTCCTTGGTTAGGAAGGACAATCTATGGTTATATCAATACTTTTTAGGCCAGATAGATGAGACCAACAACAAAATAGGAAAAAGTGTTTCTGCCAAGCATTCTATCTAGTGCAACCTGCTTTCTTCCTTGATTTTTTTCCATGCACACATGCCCCAGGGTTCTTTCTTCCCCCTTTTCTTTCTCTCCCAATATGGCTGTTGAGCAGACTCAATCCTCCTTGAGTTATTCCAAGGAATTGTATTATCTCTTTGTGCATATTTTTCTTTGAAATATTTTTCTACAAGGAGTCCCCCAAGTATGCCACTACCTCATGGTTATTGCTTGGTAGCCCTGTTTTGGCTCTGCAAGCACCCCAAGTTAGCTTTTGGGGACAAACAACTGGGAAAGTCTGCCACCTCTATGGATCTGCTTGGCAACTAGAAGTGGTCAGAGTGCTGGACCTGGGACATCTACTAGCCCATGAAACTCACTAAATGACTTTGGGTTTGTCACTTTTTCTCAGCCTGACATACTTCACAAGATTGCTGTGAGGACAAAATGCAAGACGGAGAAAAGTCAGGAATATCTCCTTGAACTCATTAAGGGAAAAGCAGGGTGTAAAGGTAGCTAGCCAATAAATCATTCATCATGCTTCCTGAAGGAAGCTGGAGGACCATTCTTTGAAAAAAGATGTTGAATTAACCTGACTCATCATAGACTGGCTTACATTCTTGTCTTCTTTCTCCATGACACCAGCACTAACTTCTATGTGGGCATAATCAAAAGACCTAGGTTTTTTTCCCATCCCTGTCACTATTATTAATATTTAGCAAGTCCCACAGTCCCCACTTAAAATGACAAAGCAATTTCCTCTGGTCACAATGCCTGTGTAAGAAAGGACAAGCAAGGGAGAGCATATTTTATATCCAGCCACTCTATGCACTTTCATATTAATTTGTTACCACCCCGCACCCCACCGTGTCTTGATATCCAAAAGCTTTTAGCTGATAGGTATGTGCATCAGTGTGTCTCTTGCATCTAAAAATAGCCTAGAGAGAGAAAGGAGTTGAAGAGAGAAGTTTTGTTATCTGTCCTGTGGCAAGACTGAGCTGGAGTGGGAAGATGAGGAAGAAAAAAGATTTATGGCACATTTTATCCTGTTTGTCAGTAAAGGTGACTTTAGACTGCTTAGTAGGCTCCATATTAGTGAATCTATCCTCAGAAATGTGCAGAAGAGATACTCCCACAGCTACAGGAACATTTGTTTTCACTGTGTTCACAGTTCATATTACTAAATCATTTCAAAAGATAATTAGAGGAACTGAAGCAAGATAAAGCTGCCAATGTCTTTGAAGCACAATAGCTAAAAGCTCCAGTTGAGAAACTGAATGATACTGATCACCTGTTTGGTGCCACTGGTCACCAAGAACAAAGCCATGCCATTCCCTGCTAACCTATTTGTGCTATTCTGGAAACATCCGTGTCTAGTGGACACTGAACTAGATCAGGGATGGGAAAACTAAAAACCTCCAAATATTTTTGGACTCCAATTCTCACTCGCACTAGCAAAAGCCAGGGCTAACAGAGACTACATTCCAACACTATTTGGAGTGCACCAGTTTCCCCACTCCTGAAGACTTGCCTTAGGTCTGATTCAAAAGGATTCATGTTAAATTATTATATTAATGCAACAACACTGCCATTTCATTGCCTTCACACTCAAAACAATGGAATTAAGAGTAATATTCCCATGGAAAGGTCTCATCCTTTTACATATAACATCATCTGATTACTCAGTTATGATAGAATGCCGAACTGTCTTCAGATAAAATGAATTTACTTGTGCTGAAGAGAGATAACAACAAGTTCCACTGTGACAAGAGTTTGGTCATGGCCAGAAAAATGGACAAAATGTATTTATTTATTTGCCCTATTTATACCCCGCCTTTTTCTACCCCAAAGGAGACTCAAGGCAGCTTTTATTCAATGCCATAAAACACAAATAATTCCAAACTAGTAAAATTAGAAATTAAAAATTAAGTTAAAATTAATGCATATTAGATATTTAAAAACATTAAATTTCATAATAAGTAATGCCATCCATAATTGTAGTCCAAGCCATTCCATGGTCAATGAACATATTCCAAATCTGTTATTGCATTGCACTATTCTCCGAAAGCCTGATCCCACAGCCAAGGTTTTACTTTTCTTCTGAAGGCTAGGAGGGAGAGGGCTGATCTAATGTCATTGGGGAGGGAGATCCATAGCCAAGGGACCACCAATGAGAAGGCCCTGTCTCTCGTCCCCACCAGTCACGCTTGGAGGGGGGTGGGACAGAGAGACCTCCCCCAACAATCTTAAGCTCTGAGGTGGTTCATAGGATGAGATACATTTGGAGAAGTAAGCTGGGGCACAACCATTTAGGGCTTTATAGGTTAATGCCAGCACTGTGAATTGTGCTCAATACAAATGCACCCAGGAGAGCTGTATTTACACGCTGAAGCAGTGAACCCAAAAGAGATGGATTTAAACCTCAACTAAGCTATGAAACTCACTTCAGGGCAGTCACTGGCAGTAAACTTAAACTACCATTCAGCATCATTGTGAGGAATAACTCAAGGCTCCCCTAAGCCTCTGAACAGTGGTACACAACTATGAGCAACCATCCTAATAATTCACTGATTCAAGTCACCCCTTATGAAGTGTGAACCAATCTGCATATTTACACTAACATAGAACTACATAAAAAAATTCAATAAGCAGAAAGCTTTTAGACAGCTGATGTTTGGAATGACAGAAATCAAACAAAAGTTAGCACTTACCGCACATGAATGCAACTGTTCTCAGAGTCTGTTGCATTAGAATCTGTGTCACTGGAGAGAGATTATGATGGGTGTAGTGAGACATTACGATACCAGAGAACAAGATAGCCATGATACCTGGAAAAAGATTGTCACAATCAGATAAAGAATACACTATACCATCAACTATTTCCTAATTTCTGCTAATTGCAACCCCACGAAAATTATCAGCAGTTCTGCACTACATAAAATGGAAAAATCAATTACAACATTCATGTACAATAAGTTCTGCTGGTCACCAGGAAAGCCATGATCCGCTAAGGATAAGGTTCTGCATATGCAAAAGTTTTCTTATTCCCTTCAACACTGATGGACAGCTCCACATGCCTCACAAGGATGGATCTTAATGCCCCTGAAGTCAAAGTGGGGTGGAAAAGAGCCTTTGCTTATGACATTTCGTGTTGAAGCTTTGGCAGACCTCTGGAGAAGATTACTGGACTGTATCACTGAATGAGAGGCTAAATTCACATTTTCCTGCCTTAAATAGTAAAGAACGACTGCATAAACTAAAACAACCTGAGGCTGCAAAAGCATACCATCTGTTCTATCACTTATGTACTGCCCTGATTTCTGGAAAACAAGATATTTAAGTGTGTGTGTGTGCAATGTTTATTTGTGGGATTAATATAACTCAAAAACCACGGGAGGAATTGGCATCAAATTTTGACAGAATACGCCTAACAACCCAATGAATGAATGACCATCACTAAAAAATTGATTTTGTCATTTGGGAGTTGTAGTTGCTGGAATTTATAGTTTACTTACAATCAAAGAGCATTCTGAACTCCACCAATGATGAAATAGAATCAAATGTGGCACACAGGACTCCCATGACCAACAGAAAACATTAGAACGGGTTGGTGGGCACTGACCTTGAGTTTGGAAGTTGTAGTTCACCTACATCCAGAGAGCACTGTGGACTCAAACAATGATGGCTCTGGACCAAACTTGGCACGAATATTCCATATGCCCAAATATGAACACAGATGGGGTTTGGGGGAAATGGACCTTAGCATTTGGGAGTTGTATTTACTGGGATTTATAGTTCACCTACAATCAAAGAGCATTCTGAACCCCACCAACGAGAGAATAGAGGCAAACTTCCTACACAGAACCCCCATGACCAACAGAAAATACTTAAGGCCAACCAGTCCAACTCCCTTCACCAGGGCAAGAAAACATAATCAAAGCCCTCCTGACAAAGAGCCATCCAGCCATAGATATAGATAGATATATATGATTCACATACAGATACAGTATCCTACATTTGAAAGGGACCCCCAAAGGAGCAATTATATGTTGCATGTTCCAAAGTAGGCAAACCACGCAACCTCCACATCAACACTGACAAAAAAACAGCAAGAAATACTGTTTACCCACAAGCTTAAAGAAATTGCATAATTAGAAACCAACACTTTCTCAATACTTTATTTCCCTAATCACCAGACTGGGCCACAGCAACGCATGGCAGGGAACGGCTAGTCTATATTAATAAAAATGTAATGTTTGTTTGTGGGATTAACACAACTCAAAAACCACTGGAAGAATTGACACCAAATTTGGGCACAATACACCTATCAGGCCAATGAGTGACCATCACTCATACAAACACTGAAAAACACAGCAGAAGGGACTTAAAAAGCCAAAAAGCAAAAAGATGCTACAGCACATGTGCAAAAATGACTCCCCCAACAAACAAACACACAATAGCACATCCACACTCTCTTCTGGACTGCAGCTCCCAGCATCCCCTAGACCAGGCCCTTTAGGAGAGGAGAATGATCCCAATGCACTGCTTCCAAGCTGCAAGCTTTCTTCTCCTTGGATTTCTCTGAACGCATCCCAACCCCTGCATATTTCCAATTTCCTATTTTTGGACGACAACTCCCAGCAATCTTCCAGATAGATAGATTGGATAGAGCTTGATAGATAGGTAGGCAGATAGATCGATCAGGACTGCTGGGAATTGCAGTCCAACAATAGGTAGAGAAGGAAGAACGGGGAGAAAGTAGAAGTGAAAGAAAAGGGGGGAAGGAAGGGAAGAGGAAAAGGAAAGAAGGAAGGAAGGAGAGAAGGAAAGAAAGAAGGAGAGAAGGAGGGAAAGAGGGAGGGAAGGTTGGCCACATCAATGCATGGCCAACTCACAACCTCTGAGGATACCTGCCACAGATGCAGGTGAAACGTCAGGAGAGAATGCTTTTAGAACATGGCCATACAGCCCAAAAAACCTACAACAACCCAGTGATTCCGGACATGAAAGCCTTCAACAATACAATCCATACCAGGTTTCAGATATGTTCTGAAAAGTGCTATACCTTTTCCTAAAAGGACCAGAACCTTGAAAAGCCATGAAAACCTTCAACAATAAATGTATTCAGTATTTCTGAGAACATTGAAAAAATGAGACATGAAGTAGAATTTTTGAAATTAACGTATTTATTGGGGAAAGCTTTTTCTGTAAGAGAAACTCAGGGCCCTTCCATACAGCCATATAACCCATAATATAAAGTCAGATAATCCACAATATCTGCTTTGAACTGGGTTACCAACTGGCCTGCTCTTTAAGATCTTCTGGTGAGGCCCTGCTCTTACTTCCATTATTGTTGCAAATGAGACAGACACTGACGAGGGGGAAGGCATTTCGGTGGCCACGCCGACCCTGTGGAACACCCTCTCAAAAAGAAATTAAAACAGCTCCCTCCCTTTCTTCTTCCAAGGACCAATTAAAACATTTCCTGTTTAGACAGGCCTTTAGTAAAGGAAACTAAGATGGAGTAATAAGAAACACCATAATGTTTATGGACTGGAACTAAGTGCAATATAATCTGACATGAGGCCACAAGAATGTGAATGTATATTATTGTTGTTTTAAACTGTTAATTTTATGATGTTTTACATTTATCATCAATGTATTTGGATTGTTGTTTACATGACTTTAATATGTTGTAAGCTGCTTTGGGTCCTGTGAGGGAGAAAAGTGGGATATAAATAAAGATTTATTATTATTATTATTATTATTATTATTATTATTATTATTATTATTATCTGAGTCCACACTGCTGCCATATAACCCAGTTCAAAGCAGATAATATAGGATTTTATACAGCTGTGTGGAAGGGATCTCGGTGGCGGAACTGCCTCTCAAGGAAGTTCCATTACAGAGTTACTGCTACAGAGCTAGCTGTATCCCTATTGAGCTTCTAGTGATCTGCCAACATTCTTAATCATTCTCTATGGCCTTTGGGTTTTATACTGATTTTTAGAAAAAATAACTTGTAAAGTCTGTTTTTTAAAGAACACTTTCTAAAATCTGTTTTATTGCACATTTTCCTTGGGACTTTTGACAAGCATGAAAATTATTAACAAATATCCATACAGATAATAAAAGTGAAAATATGTATGTGTGCTGGGATGCCAACTTACACAGACAAGCTCCTGCCTCCACAAACAGCTATAGCTCCCACTACTCAGGAGACACCAAAGGCCTTCCCTCCAATGACACTGCAGGTTATAGTGAGTGCCATGAAGACGTACAAGAGACCTACTAATGTCCTCCACAAACACAATATTGCCCACTACCCAAGTGAAGGCTTTTAAATGGGGACCACTTCATCCTAGATTTTATAGAGAAATTGGTCAGCAACTGAACATACTAGAGAGGTTTGGGGATAATTCACCATGTTTTATAGGAGTTGTAGGTACTGGGATGTATAGTTCACCTGCAATCTAAGAGCACTTTGAACTCCACCATCGATGGACCTGGAACTAACTTGGCACACAGAGCCCGCAAGACCAGCAAAAAATACTGGAGACCTTTGGGGGAAATTCACCTTGATTTGGGGGAGTTGTAGTTCACCTACATCCAGAGAGCACTGTGAACCCAAACAACAATAGATCTGGACCAAACTTGGCATACGTACCTGATATGCCAAAACTTGATTACTGGAGGGGTTTGGGGAAACTGACTTCCTTTCTGAGAGTTGTAATTCAGCCGCAACCAGAGAATAATGGATCGATGATGGACCTGGAACAAACTTGGCACACAGAACCCCTGTGACTAACTTAACTTACTGGAGGGGTTTGAGGGGACTGACTCACCATAGTGGGAGTTGTAGTTTACCCTACAGCCAGAAATCACACTGATCCCCACCAATGATGCATCTAGAGAAAACTTGCCCAACATAACAAACTTTAAGTACTCATGGAGTTTCTCGGAGTTAATCTGGCATGACATCAGTTGAAGTTGATCCACAACTGTATGCATTTTGTACAATTTAAAAAAGACTTTCTCAAATAACCTGGGCAATGCCGGGTACCCAAGCTAGTTTTAAATAAACTTGGCAGCATGCAACAGTCCATAGCAGCTCCACAATTGAATCTGTTGTCCAAACCCTGGGCTACCTTGAATTGTAGGTAATACGGTGGATTAAGTATTTTAGATCTAAAATTTATTTCCAAGTTGAGTACATATACTCAATGAATTGCTAAACAGGAAATTGATTACCGTAACTCTCACTGATTCAGTGGCTGTACTCTAGATTGGGACTAGCTATTGGATGAAGGATTTAGGAAATAGTGGAAATACACACATGAAAATCTAAGAAACACTTGCTCTCTGGTACATATATAAAAGCCTTATTTCACCCCCAAATAACATTAATTTTATTTTGGGTGAAAGTCTTCTGAGGAAGCATTAGCCATGTTCGTGTGAGATGCAAATGCTCTTGCAAAATTAAAATAAAAACAATCATGTGTGAGACTATACCAGGATTGAGTTAAGGACACTGAAAGGGGGAAATGGCCATGCATCTGAAGAATCGGAACACACAATGTGATCTGATAGCAGCTGACAGCCTCAGTAAATCTCAATGTTGCCATAATCCCCTGGCTGATTTCTTTTTTAAATGCACAGTTATGTAATAATTCAATTTGTCCAATGTAATTTCTAACACTTCATCAAGTGTTTATTAAATCAGGGAATCGGCTCCAAAATTAATAGTTTTACATTTTCCAGATTTTATCAAGGAGGCAAGTGCTTTAATCAGGCAAACACTAGATCCTCAGGGGTCGTTTCAGGACAGGAGAAGAGCCCTAAATCCATTCTAATTTATGTGTGCAAATGCTCAAGTATTGCCATTTTATCTGAAAAGGAACTGACTGTCAAAAGAGCACATGTCTGTGGTAGTCTGCCTTAATGCAAATGCAATTAGACTCAATGTGCAGCTGTGATCACTTGCCCATCACATCTTTGAAAAAACCATAAAGATACTATGAGGAAAGGAGAAAACAGGACTCCTTGACACATGTAAGAAAAGATGGATCTTGAGTTCAGATGTCTGACAGTAATCAGAGACAAGCTAAGTTAGAACAAATGCTTATTTGTGATGATACATGCCGAAATTCTATACACATCTGCAGAGGAATGAGGAAGAATGCTTCAGATAGTAAGTGCTGAAGCCATCATTATTTGATTGCAATACACAGCAATGCCAAAGGTTTATAGCAAATATATGTAGGCCTATTCCAAGCCCAAAACACCACAAAATCTTTGCAGAAATGCTTAGAACTGTGCTTATGCTGCTTGCTAGCCAACACATTTATTTTTCACAATAATAAAACATGTATTTCCTTAACATGCATTATGCCAATATATAAATATATATGTGTGTGTGTGTGTGTGTGTGTGTATGTGTGTTTGCAACAATAGCTAAAAGGAAGATACTGTGTCTCAGTGTCCCCTTATGCCAAACTTCTCTCTATATATATCAAAATATCTATGTATCTATATATGTTTGCCTGTTTTTAAGTTTGTTGTTGTTGTTGTTCATTCGTTCAGTCGTCTCCGACTCTTCATGACCTCATGGACCAGCCCACACCAGAGCTCCCTGTCGGCCGTCACTACCCCCAGCTCCTTCAAGGTCAGTCCAGTCACTTCAAGGATGCCATCCATCCATCTTGCCCTTGGTCGGCCCCTCTTCCTTTTGCCTTCCACTTTCCCCAGCATAATTGTCTTCTCTAGGCTTTCCTGTCTCCTCATGATGTGGCCAAAATACTTCAACTTTGTCTCTAGTATCCTTCCCTCCAGTGAGCAGTCGGGCTTTATTTCCTGGAGGATGGACTGGTTGGATCTTCTCACAGTCCAAGGCACTCTCAGAACTTTCCTCCAACACCACAGCTCAAAAGCATCGATCTTCCTTCGCTCAGCCTTCCCTAAGGTCCAGCTCTCACTTCCGTAGGTTACTACAGGGAATACCATGGCTTTGACTAGGCGGATCTTTGTTGCCAGTCTGATGTCTCTACTCTTTACTATTTTATCGAGATTGGACATTGCTCTCCTCCCAAGAAGTAAGCGTCTTCTGATTTCCTGGCCACAGTCTGCATCTGCAGTAATCTTTGCACCTAGAAATATAAAGTCTGTCACGGCCTCCACATTTTCTCCCTCTATTTTCCAGTTGTCAATCATTCTTGTTGCCATAATCTTGGTTTTTTTGACGTTTAGCTGCAACCCAGCTTTTGCGCTTTCTTCTTTCACCTTGATTAGAAGGCTCCTCAGCTCCTCCTCGCTTTCGGCCATCAGAGTGGTTTTTAAGTATGTATTTTAAAGGAGGGCTCCCAGTTCCAGATTTGGACCATACTTGGAATACATACTCATCATGACCAACAAAAAATACTGGAGGAGTTGGGGGAGGGGTTGGGATTTGCAATCAAAGAGCACCATGAATCCAACCAACAATGGATTGGAACTAAACTTGGCACACAATACCCATCATGACTAACTTTAACTGCTGGTGAAGATTGGGGGAATTGAAAAGTTGTAGTTAACTCACATCCAGATAGCACTGTGACTCCCACTGATGATGGATCTGGACCACACTGGGCACACATATCCATCATGACCAATTATACTTACTGGTGTGGTTTGAGGGCAATAACAGATAATGATGGAAATGGTAGTTTACCCACAACCTTATGCATTTTCTAATGGGACCATCCATAAAATCCAAAATAAAAAATAATGACTATTTCTAATACCTATTATCACAAAAGACCTAACCCAAGCATTGCCGGATATCTAAGCTAATTGAAAAAAATAAAGTGGGGCTCCTTAAGCCTATTACATTGTAGATAATGTAATCATAATGTCATTTTAAAAACATTTTGTTGTTATTCCTAGCTTTGTTTTTTCCAGCCAGGGGTTTGCAAAGGTTAAAAATATACAGTTTCAATATTATATATATATATTCTCTCAACTGATAATAAATTAAAAGCAGGTAAAAGCAGGTAAAAAGAAAACAACAAAAAACAGTGCAGCCCATTCTGAAATGTCTAATCAGCCATCAAAAGCTTGATGAAATGAGCAGCTCTTCACATGCCTATAAAAGAATAGTAAAGATAAAGGTTTCCCCTGACATTGAGTGTAGTTGTGTCCGACTATGTAGGGTGGTGCTCATTTCCATTTCTTAGCCAAAGAGCCAGCAGTCCATAGATGCCTCCAAGGTCATGTGGCCAACATGACTGAATGGAGCACCGTTACCTACCCACCAAGGCGGTATCTATTGATCTACTCACATGTGCATGTTTTTGAACTGCTAGGTTGGCAGAAGCTGGGACTAACAGCAGGAGTTCATCCCACTCTCTGGATTCGAACCTGTGACCTTTCGGTCAGTAAGTTCAGCAGCTCAGCGGTTTAACTCACTTGCTATCCTGACCTCCACCAGGGGGTCAGGATAGCAAGATGCTAATCTAACTTCTCCAGTACAGGAATTTTAGGTCCTCTCCCATGTTCCCATCACATGTACCCATAGGAATGGTGAGGCAGAAAGAACCTCCCCCTCCCCCAAAAGAAGATCTCAGAACACCTTTCCCGGCAAAATATGACAGTGAAACAGGTTCTGGTCTTTCAAAACTGACAGAAGCTCTGTATTTCTCATGAACATAATCCAAATTTACTCAAGTCAACAAGCTCTCTCCTGAATAAAATACCTTCCCATTCAGTTCAGCACCAAAATTATTCATATCTTGGATCTTTGTGATTTCAATCAACATCTGCTCTTCTAATTAGGGTTTTAGTGGGTTGTTTTTTAAAAAAAAAAACTGGCTTGATGGTGCACTGGATGCAATCTACCAGAGATTTGGAATAGTCATGTTGGCTGAGAAAGCTTGGGACTTGGATCCCAAAAAAAATAACATTTTCAAGCTTTGCTTTTTGCCCAGACACACTGAGGTAGAGTGAAGTTATGTATTAACTGGAACTACTGGGATGGTCCCACTGTATAACTCTCTTCTCTGTGAAACTTGTTAAAGCAAATCCCAAACGTTTTGTAGTATCTATGGGGAGGAGGAGTGAAACTGTCACAAAGCTGAGGGAATATCTAATCCTAGAGAATGTAGTGAATTCCCTCACTTCTCTCTCCTCATAGGATACAGGAGATTCTGAAATACAAGTGTTAGTTCAGGGAAACATTACACTCTGTACAGAAAGTTACAGGATATATATAATGAAGTTGAACACACTGAAGACTGGAAATCTTTGCAAAGTCATTAGAAGCTTTGAGCAAATGCATTTTGCAGCTTACCTGAGAGAGAAATACCTTCTGCCAATCCATAGGGAAGGTAAGCAAAGATAATCATCATTCCAAACTCCAGAGAAGGTGTTTTCCTTAAATCGATATGCTTTAATACGTCAATATCCAATAATTAAGCAAAATACAAGTGAGGTAAGGGAAAAGAAAAGTTAAACAGCCAGAAGGAGATAATCATTTGTTACTGGATCAAACTAGAAGGCAAAATATTCCTATGAGCCATAAGCACAGTGGCACACTGTGCAATGTCCAGCGGGTCAATTCTTCATATTTTATTGCAACTTTCCTCAACAAATGTTTTGGTTACAATTCTCATTAGCCGCAGTAATCATAGCCAAGAGGCAGAGATAGTGGGAATTCTACTCCAAAATATCTGAGAGTTGCCAGGAGGAGATAGTACAATCTACACGCCATATGTGTTTCCCCAAGGTTATTTTTGTCCCCAAATTTCACAGCAAAACATTTTTTCCATTTTACCCCCAGGGGTAGGAAATACAGGGAGAGAGTTCAAGTCCTCTGAGGGGGAAATGAGACCATGTCACTGCTGAAAGTTTCCCTACCATATTTAATTATTCCCAATTCAAAGGGTTAGTTTTAATCTATTGTGTTTTATATAGCTCATTACCAAATTGTATGGTTTGCCATTCCCAACCATGTAGCTGCCATTTGCAGTAACAGAGAAATTTGCAATATAACAACATAATCTATTAGGTTTTGGTTATAGGATGGTATGGTGTGGGTAGAAGAGTACACAGAACCTACGCAGCTCCAATGGCCAACCTAGTGAGTGAAGCTTTCAAATGTTTAAAACCAGTTTTCATCTAGTGCAGAGTCACAGGCATCCAGCTTGACATAAATCCACACTGAACTGGAATAAGGCTCAACCACTGGGTATATTTTTGTTATGGATGCTGATTCCAGCATTCAACAATAAACCCCCCAAGGTTAAAAAATCTAATTTGTTTACTGAATGCTTTCTACATATGAAAAGTGGAGCATATGTTAACAAATGATCCATTACTGAAAATGGAATTAATGTATTAGGACTACAGCAAATAATTAGCATATTTTAATCCTCCATTAGCATGTAAGATGAGCTATTAAAGAGTAACCTAGGCCTTAATGACAATAATGTATGAAGGCAACGGTTTTTATGTAAGTTTCAAATTGCTGCCCACAAGCACTGTAGATATTAAAACAGAAGAGAGGGAACAGAATACTAAAATCAAATGGCCTTCTGTTTTAAAAAGATCATATCCCTAAGAAACACAACTGAAAGTCATTATTAAAATGGAATGGTTCACTCGTTTATGCATGGACATTACTTTCCCTAAAAGCAAAGGATATTACTGCAGAAATAAGGCCAGTCAGTGTCCCCAGCGCGGCAGAACCAAAGAACATCTTCAGAAAGTAACCCAGAGCCTGGAGAAAGGTTTGCCATCCACTTACGTCGGACGTATGTTCTCTTGTCAAACCTTCTGCTGTGCTGGGAACAATTAAAAAAATAATAGAAAGACAACCAGTCAAGTTGCACATTTGAATCATAAGACTTGCACGCACCACATTTTTGAAAAAAGAAACAATCTCAAGAACCTACATTTCTGTGTTGAAACTGCTCTTAAAATGCTTTTACTGTGATATAACAAGTGGAATGTCGAAAGGCATTAAATCAAGTGCTGAGTGCAATTTCCCCACAGGGAAACACAGCTCTGCTAAAAATCTGGAAATCTAGCCTTGTTTCTGTAATGCTTTTAGCAATGGTACAAAAGAAGCTAGGATGGTGCCTGCTGCAAAAAAAGAAATGAAATACTTTTAGCAGCAAAAAGGAGACAAAGGTTTTAGTGACACACAAAGCACAGGGAAAGAGGAAAAACTTGAACTAGTTCCTGCTCTCAAAAAAGACAGAAATATATTCTCACAAAAGCAAGGGTGTTCCCTTTTTTTGACCATCAAGGCATAGGAGAATATGGAGGTATGGGGAGAGCTATAACAGCTCCTCAGTAATCAAGGGAGGAATGTGAGAAGGTAGATCAGGACCCTGGCTGATTATGAACCAAAAAAAACAGTAAAAATAAAGAAAAAAAACCCAGATCCTATTGATAGTAATACTTCAGTATGCCTACACAAGGTTTGCTTCTTCACCAGTATCTGATTTCTTTGGTATCTGGACCATATGCCCAATAAATTAGTTTAGGTAAAAGGTGACAGATGCGTCCCCTTCTGTAGTGGAAACTAGTCACACAAATAAAAACGCTCATTCATGTCTATTATGCAGCAGTGACAGGGCAAAAAGCCTGATTTGACTTCAAACATCATACTGTCAAGCTTTTGCCAAGCCAAGATGTTATGATGAAGAACATCCTGGGTTTCAGCTCAGAGGGGTGGAATGAAAATGTTTGGTCACCTGCTACAACAGTGGTTCCCAAACCTGTGATCCATGGACCCCCAGTGGTCCGCAAGAAGTAAAATATGGTCTGCGGCCTCACCATTACTACACTGTTGCAACAAGAGCGACTAGTCTTGTGAAACCCTCTTATAGTGCTGAAGTTTATTAAATATGATTTTCTGTGGGTGAGTAGATGGCGACTACTGGATGGCTAATGTTCTGTATCATAAACTAGAACTGATGTGGTCTATGCAATGCAATTTTCTGAATTAGCACCCCAAATAACCAAACCAAATCTAAAGTTGACCAAAAACTGATTTGTAACTCTTTTGGTACTAATGTTGGAGTGGTCCCTGGTCAAGTGGTCTCTGATCAAGTGGTTCTAGTCAAAAAAAGGTTGGGGGCCACTGTGCTACAAGGAATAAGGCATGCGCTTCAAGCAGAATTAAAAAAAACAATTAAGATTTCATGCCACAGTCATGGCAATATCTTGGGTGTCATCCGGATTAGTGTCTAATGGCTCTTCTTGGAAACGGTTTCAGTTGATTATATGGCCTAATTATATGGACAAGATAATTGCATCAGTACTCCTCACTACATATAGGCTTGAATTTTCATTATCTTTTCTTCAGAGTAAATTTAAAGATTTGGTGAGGCAAATGCGTGATTTGAATGCAATATTCCTGCTTCTTGGCAGGGGGTTGGACTGGATGGCCCATGAGGTCTCTTCCAACTCTATGATTCTATGATTCTATATTGGGGGCACCTGCTGTTGGGGAACAGGGGTGAAATGCTAAACCCCCTTCTCGAGAGGACCTCCCTGGATTTAGAGACATGTAAGAACTACCATCCCACAGCAGACCCTTCCTGCTGCCTCCCCCCACCCCCAGCACTTTCTGGACCAGGTGCTCAAGGGTGTGATGGATGGGCAACTTGAACTGCTCTTAGAAGAAACAAATTATCTGGATTCATTTTGTCTAGTTTCAAGCCAAAGTCTGGAATCAAATCTTCCCATGGTTGCTTCAATGGATAAGCTGCTCTCGGGTAAAGATGGGACAGTAATACCCAACTAATCCTTCTGGATCTCTTGGAGACGTTTGAGACTACTAACCAAGGTATCTCATTGGACCAGTTCTATGAGATAAAAGCAGAAGGCACTGTCCTATGGAATGTATATTGCTGAACAGCTGATTACCAAGAGTGGGATTGAGGAACTTCTGTTTGGCTCCATAGCTGTTAGATTTTTTTTTCGTGCCAGGGGCGAGTTGAGAAACTTCTAGTCGCTTCTGGTGTGGCCATCTACAGGGGATACCCGAATGCTTTACTATTCTGTAGGAGGCTTCTCTCACGTCCCTGCATGAGAAGCTGGAGCTGACAGACAGGAACTCACCCCACTCCCCACATTTGAACTGCCAACCTTTTTGTCAGCAGTCCTGCCAGCACAAGGGTTTAACCCATTATGCCATCGGGGGCTCCAGCTGTTAGATTATGAATTACTATAGTCTCATTTGGATACTTAATGTTATTACATGAGTGATAGAATGGAATCATATAGTAATCCAAGATGTTAGATTATGGATTACTATATGATTCTATCGTATCATTCATGTTATTAAATATCCAAATGAGACTACTTGGCAAGATCACCAATGACTTTGACAGCATCAGTATACTGAAAGCAGCGAGTTCTACGTCTCTTTGTTATTAAGAATAAGAGGCGAGTTCTACGTCTCTTTGTTATTAAGAATAAGAGGGATGCTGTTAAGGGGTTCAGCTAGATAACATATGGTATTTCATGAGAGCCATAACTAAAGTGGAATCTGTACAAGGTAAAGGCTTAAAGGACTATGGTTGCTATATCTGATAAATCTGGTGTAGTGACTGGCCTGGATGGGACTGAACTCCAGCAAAAGGGCAGATGCATAGCCTAAGAAGTATAGCTATAAAGCACATGCCTTTCTCAAGACCACACTCTAATTAATGGGGTAGTTTTTCTCAAAAAGGTAAGACAAGAAGCAGCATTTTAAAATTTCTGACTTATTAAAAATCCCCAGAATTTGAACTGCTAAATTTGAATGCACTTACTTTGTTAGGACAATTGAGACTGCATCATTGAGAATACTTTCCCCGAAGACAAGCATGTTAAGTACAGGATCAACATTAAGGGCATTAAAGATAGCAATAGTAGCTACTGGGTCAACAGCCGAGATCAGAGAACCAAATGCAAAACTGTAAAAAAAAAATGAAAAGACCAGGTTTGCATATGCCCGCAAATAGTCAGTGTTGCTGCATATGTGATAACAAGCAGCATTCAGCCATTCTGAAACACATCAAAATGTTTTGTTTTGTTTTTTAAAAAACAATAATTATTTTGACTTTTCAAACAGTAAGAAAAATGCTACTAAGACACCAGTAAACCTTTTCCAAAAAAATAAAATAAAAATCTGCGTATATTATAAATATTACAGTATACAAATATTAGAAAGGGCAAAAGAGAGCAGCCCCACTACCACCAGAGTTGTGGAGATTTCTGGGTTCTCATCTGCAGGCAACATGGGTAGGAAAGGCACTGGTTGGGATTCAGCAGTGAAAGCAAGGGAGAGTGGAGAGGAGAGCTGTTTTTTTGACTTGGGTCTTTACTCTGAGCCAAGGTTACACTTATGCCATAGTTGATTTTTTTTTTTTTGGAATATTTTGGATTTTTTGAAAAGGAATATTAATCTTTATAACCAGTTCATCTAGCAGTGGTTCTCAATCTGTAGATCCCCGGTGTTTTGGCCTACAACTCCAAGAAATCCCAGCCAGTTTACCAGCTGTTAGGATTTCTGGGAGTTGAAGGCCAAAACATCTGGGGACCCATCGGTTGAGAACCACTGATACAGTAACCTTTTGGAGGATATCTTGTACAAATAACAGATAATTACTGTATTTATGCAAATTGAATGTGTATTTTTTGGCTAAATGACCTTGCCAAAATTGGGTTGCAAATTACAGTCTCTTAATACAGTCAAGAAAAGGCTTGGATTGTGGGCCAGCGCGCACAGGAGAGTCAGTAGAAGCATGTGCCTGTCTGACGCAAGTCATAATCGCCTTCGGGTCCACCTCCTCTGCTCCTGGGACCCGCCCCCTTCGCCTCCACTCCTGAGGGCCTGCCAACTTGCCAGAACCACCCTCACTGGCCTCACACCACTTTCACCTTTTCCCTCCTTGAGCAGTGCTGGCAGGGAGGGGCTGATGTAGCCTGGCAGCACAGGGCTGTGGGGGGCAGCCCTGGAGAGGCGGCAGGCCCTGATCAATAGAGGAGATGGTATCACCAGCAGCAGAAGGAGGCAGCAGGCTCTGGTGAGCGGAGAAAAAGAGGGGGCAGAGAAGGAGAAGCCATCTTGAGGCAGACAGGGAGGTGAAGGTGCATGCTCCCACTACCTTTCCTGTGTGCGTGTACATGTGCCCGCCCGCCCGCCAGCCCTTTCAGACTTTCTTTCTATATTTCTACTTTTCCTTCCCTTCTTTTCTTTCCTTTCTTCTCTCCCTTCCACTCTTCACTCTCTTCCTTTTCTTTCTTCCCTTCCTCCCTTCTATCCTCTTGTCATCTATCTCTACCTCTGCCTTTTTCTTTTCTATCCTCTTTCCATCCCTCTTTCTCTCTTTCTTTTCTTTCCTCCCTTACTGCTGTTTTACTTTTCCTCTCTCATCCTTTTCTTTCTTCTTCTTTTCTGTTTTCATCTTTTTTTCCTTCTTTTTCTTTCCATCCTTTCCTTCCTTCCTTCCTCCTTCATTTCATTTCCATTCCTTCTCTTTCTTCCTCTTTTCTTACCTTATTTTTATCCTTCATCCATCTTCTCCTTTCTTCCTTCTCATTCTCCTTTTTTTCCTTTTCCTTTCATCTTCCCTCCTTCCAATTTTTCCCTGTCTTCCTTTCCTTTTTATCTTCCCATTAAGGGTTACCTGATTCCCTGGTTTTACTTTCCATTGCTGGGAGATTTGATGATCTAACACTTTTTTATTTTTTTTAAAAAGGAATTCTAGGTGTACAGGAACTGTTATACACACCTTTTTGGAACAAATTATAAAGAGTCCACTTTTTGCTGCTGCGCATTACATTCGCCAACAAATACTCTCCTTTTTTTGGTTTCGGGGTTTAGAAAATTGAGGTGCGCATTAGATTTGATGGCACACTATTTATTTATTTGCTGTATTTATATACTGCCTTTCTCACTCCTGGGGGGACTCAGGGTGGTTTACAGCATACTAAAGGCAAAAATTCTATGCCAACATACAGTACACAAAGAAATCGTAACAACTAATTACTACATATAACTATGACCTTAAAATCAATTAAAACCATTAAACATAAGACATACATACAATTTAAATATTCAGACAACCAAAAAATTATCCTAGTATTAACATTAAAATCCCATGATCCAGAAATCGTATACTATAACCATTCCTAATTGTCACTGCACATATTCCTTAACTATTCTTTGTACTATTTATGTATTATTTATTAGGCAAAGCCTTGATCTCACAACCACGTCTTTGTTCTCTTTCTAAAGGCCAGGAGGGAGGGTGCTGATCTAATCTTGCTGGGGAGGGAGTTCCAGAGCTGAGGAGCCACCATGGAGAGTAATCTGGCTGCTAACCATTGGACCAATTGAAGCTTCCAAACAGTCTTCAAAGGCAACCCCACGCAGAGTATATTGCAGTAGTCTATTCAGGATGTAACCATAGAGTGGACTACTGTGGCCAAGTCTGACTTCCCAAGGAATGGGCACAACTGGCACACAAACTTTAGTTGTGCAACAGCTCTCCTGGTCACCACCAAAACCTGGGGTTCCAAGCTCAGCAATGAGTTCAGGAGAACTCCCAAGCTGTGAACCTGTGTCTTCAGGGGGAGTGTAACCCCATCCAACACAGGCTGTAACCCTATATTCAAATAAATACAGGTATACAGATGGTGCTAAAGTCTTACCTGTCAGTCATGTTGAGTTTATAAATTACATCAGCCTGGAAAGAAACCAACAAAACACAAAGCATTTTAATTAACTATGATTCTTTTACAATTGCAAATCCCATTATAGAGGCAAAAGTTCTACTGTGATGAATTATTAACCTTTCCAGGCAGAGCTTAAATATCCTCACTAATGTAGTACATTGTCATCAAAGTGCCAAAAGAGGTTTTCATGAAGACAGAAGACAATGAAGTGTGAATAAGCATTAACATGAGAGAGTACCAAGAGATTACAGCTATTCATTTATAGTTCAGGAAAACACAAAAGCAGTAGCAAACCTGCTGCAGCAATTTCAATATTTTTTACAACAAGAGAGAGCAACATTTGCTCCTCCACTAGGCTTATTCTTCAACTCCTTTACCATTGTTCACGCTGGCTGGAGCTGATGGCAGTTGTTGACCAAAGTACTTGGAGTTTTGGAAGTTAGCCAACCCCATTTTACAGGATCATGTGTGGTGTTAAAGCTGAGGTGGCCACATCCTTAGGGCCTGGGGCCAGTTTCAATCCCCAGGACCCATCACAGACCTCCTCCACAACTAAACAAAATAACAAAAATAACTGGGAAACCACAGGGGGTGTAAAAAACATTTGGCGGTTGGTGTTTGAGGATCTGAGAGGGAGTTAACTATACTCCTAGTCTGAAACTTCTATTGTTCATTTCTTTCCAACTTTTTCTGTTGCCCCATTTCTTCAATTTAATTAATTACAGCAGCTGTAAGTCAACAGAAGTTATTAATTGATTAATCAAAAATGTTGCAGCTGTGAAAAAATGTGCACATCAGTTGTTCTGTAGATTCAAGACTACACTAAATTTCAAGTGAGACCACCTCTAAATTCCCACGAATATTGAACACTGCTGTTGTTGTTTTAACACACTAAATGGAATGATTTTATTTCAATGATGAATCCCGATTCAAATTCAAAATGTAATTGAAATTTTATCAACTCAGTTTTAACTACTTTTTGTATACTGCTGTGCTATGACATTTTGCAAGCAAGCAAGCAAGCAGGCAGTCAATATAACAGGCATACAATGAGAAAATTTGATCTTCACCAGCTTCCTCATACCAGAGATCTGAATAAATGCTTATGTAACTTACCTCTGTGGACAATGACCTTCTAAGACACTATAGTGTAGGACAGAATAAAGTAACCATCACACTGGATATGGTTTCAGTCTCTGCTTGGGGTATTTAATTGCACAGGAACTCCCTAGTGTTAATGGTTCCCACCTTTTGTGTGCTCTGGGATTTATTGATACTTTCTGTGGCTCAAAATATAATAGCACTATTCATCACTGCTTCCCATACCTTCATAAAAGATAGATTGTTTTATATCTGCTGAAAACACAGATCTCTTTTTTGGATAACAATTTTCACTGTACCTCTGGATGTCCTTCTCAGTTTTTCCTTATGGACAGAGGCAATTCTTTAGTTTCTGAATCCCTTATGCCCTTTAGCATGCCTTGTTCCTAGGCTGGCAACACCCAACTCACTTTTGACTGTGATATTGCTCCTCTAGGAGGAACTGTCAGTCTCTGATAATTGGCTCCAACATAACATTGCCCCATTTTGCCAAAAGTTGCAAACACAGCCAAAGATACATGTAATTCCCCAGATTTTCAGAATAGTTTGACATAATTTTGCTATGGGGCCTTGAAGTGGTCCATTAGTAGGGATGCTTAGAAGGAAGGGTTGATTCCTTTTACACTCTAATAGGTGCCTGCCTATTTTTTACATCTCAAAACCAGAATTCAAACTGAAATATACCTAAGTTTCAGTTTCATTAGTACGCTTGTAAATTTTGGCATGCAGTTCTCTGATCAAGACAGCATACAGAGAGGTTATTTTAGGGAGCATGAATGCAAAAAATAAGAGGCTTTGTGCCTTAGCACAGGAGAGCTGGATTCTATCCCGCATATTCTTCTGCACTGTCCACTTTACCAGGAACCAAGATCTAGCTTACTACCACACGTTATAGATTCCTTGAAAAACCACAGTGGCCCAGACAGAGTAATTATGCTTTTAAATTGTCAAGATTTTAACTGCTGCCTTTCAGTGGCAAGATTCCTGAACGAAATCTGTGAACTGAAGTCTGTAAACTGTAAAGTGAAGTTCCCTTTTCTATGGTTTGTACTGTATTTCATACCTTTTTGCTATGTATATGCCAATAAAGGCTTATTGGAATGCAAAAAATACTTGTTGGCTAAAACAATACACCAAAAATCTATTATAGTGGGCAGAATTTCATTAAGACTCATGTAGGGTAATTTTCAATAACATACGAGCAGATTTCTCATCAATACGCCCTCTTTCTCTCCTCTGCCTCCATCAACCTTCTGAGCCTCCTCCTAAATTTGCTCATAATAAGGGTTCCCCTTCTGTTCAATTATTATTATTTTACTGTCACAAAAACACAATATGGCAAACGAAATATATATGCTGGACTTCATATCACAAAATCACAAGTTGAACATTTCCCAAATGAATATTTATTTATGTATTTATTCATTCATTTATTTCTCTGTTATTATTATTATATATGTAGAATAATCACAGGATGTTTTAAACCTACACCTGTTGATGGACTCTATAAGCTAGCCTGCATTGCCCCCCGATGTATGGGAAGCTGCCAATTGCGAGAGAAATAAGGTTGAACACTGTGAAAGCCACCCACTAAACAGCTATCAACCTCCTCCCAGTAGACTTAAATCAAGGAAAAAATTCATGAGAACCACCACTCCTCTAAATGTTCTTCCAGCAACAGCAAGAATATCCGTGTGGGCAGCAAAATCGGGCAATTCCAACTGGATACCCACCCTCCCACCACCCCAACAGAGTCTTCTTCCAGAGGCAAACCAAGAACGGGCAACTTGGAAGTCCCTGAACAAACTCAGAAGCGGAATTGGCAGATCAAAAGACAACCTGGCAAAATGGCACTACCTAGAAGAATCCTCCACCTTGTGTGATTGTGGAGCAGAACATACAACTCTGCATTTGTATGCTTGTCCTCAATGCCTTGCCTCATGCACAGAGGAAGAATTGTTTAAAGCTACAGACAATGCAGTCGTTGTTTCCCATTTTTGATCAAAAACCATTGAGCAGCTTGTGATCCCTTTATTTTACCAGTTTTAGATAAACTATTTTATGCAATGCTTTTGACATGAAATTAATACTACTACTACTACTACTACTAATAATAATAATAATAATAATAAACTTTATTTCTACTCTGCCTTTCCCCCCATAGGGACTCAATGCAGCTAACAAATAAACACACTTAATAAAATTTAAAATAAAATGGATACAATTATATAAACAAAAGTTGAACATTTGCAGGTGGATACAAAAGTTGAAATATAAGAAATGCCATTTAAACTGGCAGATCTATCCACCCATCCCTATCTCTTGGTCAAAGTTTTTCGAACCACAAATGGTTGCATCATCAATCATTCCTTTTCACAACCTTACTAATCAACTGATCAGATCACACCAAACTCTGAATATGCAAGAGCTCTCACCTGACCAAGAAAATAGATTCCTCCTCCAACAATGAAAGCTGAAATTGCTGTCCCAATCACAGAAAATAGGGTGATGGAGCCTATGTTTTGAAAGAAATTCCCCTACAACAAGATAAAAAGGAAAAAAAAGAAGTAATATGCAGTGAGATATAATATGAATCCTAAATTACTTAGCAGCTCAGCCACAGAACTAATCTTCACTGGTGGGACTTGACATCTGAACAAATGAGGCAGCAATAAAGTACAATTGATTAGAAAAAATGCATAATTGGACCCCTCGCTGCCAAAGAATAAATGAAGGTAAACCATGCCTTCTGAGAATCAACAGGTAAAAATTTCAGATCTAAGGGCACTGACGCCAAGACATGATGAGGCTCATCCTCTCTTTCTCTTAGCAATCAATCACAGTGCTGACATTTTTCATTCCACCAATGAAACCAGAATCAGATCCTGGTGCTTTCCTCACCTTTTGGCTCCCACTCTAATGAGTGCTCTCAGGATGCAGACACCGGATTTGTTTCTAAAGCAGATTGTGGGGAAATATGTGCCACTTTCCTTCCCTCAGCTTAGTTTAGTACTTAATTGTCAGGACAAATGACTATTAAGTATGATTGTGGCACTGTTTGGATGAAACAGATGAGCCAAGACCAAGCAGTCTCATTCCTCTATGCCCTCAAGTCAATCAGACAAAATTATACAAAGCTTTGGCTCTCCATGCATTAACAAGCAGTGGAAACAGTGAGAGTATCTATCAGACACAAGCATGGCTTTTGAACAAGCAATTTCTGAAAGAGTAAAAATGATGGATATGTCTTACAAAACAAGATAAACGAAGCAAATGTAGATTTTCTTCTCTCTATCTTAGAAGTTTGGGTCTTCACAGAAAACCCTCACCCTTTGTTTTGATAACTGAAAGTAAAAGCTCCAGTATGCATTTAAAAACTGATTTAATTTGCCTTTGTGGGTAACCCATCATGTTTTAGACAGAATAATTTTTCTCATTTCATTTTCACATAATGGATTGGATCCAAAGTTGCAAAGATCGGATGGCTGCAAACTGAGTACTCCCATGGGGAAAAGGCTTTGGCTTATTCCACCTTATTTTACAACCCACTATGCCCCCCAATGTCTTCTCCAGATCTATCCAAACAGATGGCAATAAAAGTTGCAGGAGAAAGGAGAAATCACATAAAATTTCCACCCTTTTCTGCATGTAGGAGACCCAGTGAATAGACTAGGAATCTCCAACACACTTCTGCAGATGGAAGCCGTTTTGTGTTTCAAACAGCAAGTTTGGAGCTATAAAATGAAAGCAATAAAGAAGTCAGGTGACTCACATAAATGCGAGAACCAACCCACAGCTGCACCACTGGATGAAAGGAATTTTTTGGAATAACTTCTAAAATTTAGCACAGCAGGTTAATCACCAGCTGCAGCAGCAGTATATCTTGCCATCCAAAAGGTTGACAGTTCAAAGCTGGGTCAGGGTGAGCTCCTGACCTTCATCCCAGCTCCCCACCCACCTAGCGGATCAAAAGTAGCAATGTAAGTAGATAAATAGAAACCACATTAAAGTGGGGAAATACTTTGGGCAGTCATAAAAAGGAAGAAAAAATTATGACCAAAGAAAGCTCATTGGCAAGGAAATGAAGCTACAGCACTGTCTGTGACCAGAACTGAGCACAACTTCCAAAGATGCCGAAAAGATGTGAAAAATCCTATATAATACCTCTATCTGTTGTCTGCCTTGTCATTGTATAATCAGCATTGAATGTTTCCCATATATGTGTTCTGTGATCCGCCCTGAGTCCCTTTTGCAAATAAATAAATAAATAAATAAATAAATAGCTTCAAAGACACTGGGATTAAAGAATCCCCCAAATAAAAGGAAGTACGGGCATATTTCTGTTAATCAGGACTCAAAGAAGCTCCTTTTTACAAAGTGTTTTTATGTCCATGCAGCCATCTTTCTCTATTCTCTGTTCCACTTGAAGATTTTATTAGCAGATCAATATTGGGAGAATGGTGAAGGAGGGCCAAAGGTAGACCTTTGATTTTGAGTTGGAGCAGAGTGCCTGCTGTAAATGATGCAATGAAAACATTTTGAAGTTGAAAAGAAGATAATTCTACTGTCACCAATTCTACCATAGCTTGTGTGTCTGCCCACAAAAGGCAAGGTAAATAACAACTGGCTCTATAATCCCTTACGTGTGAACAGCAAAACAGAGAAAAGAGAGCAGATAAACCTGCCTCATCACTTAATCCCAGCAAGTTCTTTTTAAAAAATCTATACATTTGACTGCCGAGATGGAAAAAATGGAAGCTGATGGAAAGATGGTAAAAGTGGAAGAAAAAAATCAGATTTGGATTATTTTTGGAAGAAGGATTCAAGTGTTCTATAGAAGATTTGAAACGTTTTTGTTTACTTATGCAAGGTGGGCCTGAGTTAGTTGCTTTCATTCCACATGGACATATTATAAATTCTGAATAAAAATGTTGCTGGAACATGTTAGCTGCTCTTTTTTGTGGTGAAGGAAGCTATCTATTCTTTCCATGTTATTTGTGCCTCCAGTATCACCATTCCTGTTAAAGAAGTGGTGCTTTGGGACATATCTGCTTCATTAGTTGGGGTATACCTGTAAGGAGATAAAGATTTTGCAACATCTCACCTTGTGTAATGAATACCCAGATTCAAATATGATTGGTGGAAGTAAAAGAAGGAAAAACATATTGGGACGAAACATTTCTTCTTCCTGCAAAACACAGCAAACAAAAGGATGACGGGATTATGAAGTGTGTGTCAAAGCCAATAATACCCCAACTGACACAAACAATCAGGCCTAAATCCATCCTCTTTGAAATATTTACCACTCCAAAGGAGGGGAAGGTTTTAAGAAGCAAAAATGCTGGCAAATGTTTATATTGCCTCATTTCCTACCACATACCAAGAGGGATGTTTGCTACCATTAGGGTAGCAAACATTCCTGGGATTACTCTTTAAATTGCTTTTCACCAAATGGCTAAAAAAAGGAAGCACTATTTGAATGGCTATGTCCAAATGCACAGCATTGGAAACAAGACAACTGTGCCAACAAAACAGTTTGTTATTTCAATTTTCACAAGCCAAAGCACACTGCAATAGATTTGGTCTTCAACTGTCCCAGATTGTGCCCTCTGTATGACAAAGATCCAAAGCAGGTGGCTTCCACATGTGCTTGGAACTCCCTGAGGCCACAACACGTGAAGGGTATGATAGGTCAACTTTCAAAAAGGGATGAATCTGGGAAATCCATCCTTCTGAATTCTTAAGATCTAATTTGCTTTCTATAGAAAACAAATTTCAAAATGCTTCCTTTGACCATCTGCATCTAAACCCCCACCCACCTAACATAAAAAGCAATGAAATACCTGATACAACTCTTTCCAAACATAAAGTTACAACACCAAAATCAGTTTGGGATAGCTCTATTTTTCATAAATTTGTATTCGGAAATTGCCGTGAACTGTTCTTACTGCAAATTTCCTTTCCTTGATAAATAATAAAAAGGATTGACCAACTCCTCCAAGATCTATAGTCCAAACAGCAAAATATCACACATATATTCTCTGGGCTTTTAGGACATGAAAGAGAATTTTCCAGGAAAAAGCTGCTTCCTTTTTCTGCATCCCCTTCTCTTGAGTTAGGAGAAGCAATTCAATAAAGCACAGAGTTCACTATGGAAGGGAAGTGGTTCCTGTGAATTGTAAGAAAATGTTGTTGTGTTGTTGAGCTCCATGGGAATCAATATGATCTTGTACTCAGGATTAGTTCTGCAGTCCTAAAAAATTAAATTTGATATGAGAATCTGTCAGAGGTTATCAATGACACGTAATTTCATTTGATAATTGGGGGCTGCAATGGCGCAATGGGTTAAACTCTTGTGCTGCTGAACTGTTGATCTGAAAGTTGGCAGTTTGGATCCATGGAAGAGGGTGAGCTCCAGCTGTTAGTCCTAGTTCCTGCCAACCTAGCAGTTTGAAAACATGCAAATGTTGACAGTATCAATGCAGATCAAGTACATTAACAGCTCTAGGTGAGAGCAGAAAGACATAACAAATATTGAAGTATCAGGAACAATGTAGTAAGATATGAAGGTTAGCAACTCTAGATCAGCTCCTCAAAACAGAACATTGTCAAAGTCACAGAAGAAAGACAACAACTACGCTTTTTCCTTGAGGGATGCAAATGTTACATTTTAATGTACCTAGCAACTTTTTAAAGCTAATTTATTGGGGAAGTTAGCAAAATGTCTTTCAAAATAGTTGATTCAAACAAATTGATTTTGAATACTCATTTGCAACACTTTTAGAGATGAAGTCTATTTCTGAAATTATACATGCTGGCTTCAGCAAAACCATTTTGTTGATTTCTCATGTCTTTCTTTGTGTGTGTTTGTACTGCAAGTATAAAATCTGTACTGAGAAAACACAGTCTACAGACCTTTCGAGAAGCATGGTATACAGTTGAGCCAGAACATGCTTGTTATTCCTTATGCCAGTTAACTGTCAGGCCTGTGAAACACTAATAATTTTCTGAAAAGAGCTAGACACACTTCATTTAAAGAAGACTTTTTTTCCTTTAACTAAGATTCTTTGCTTTTTTGTGTGTTTTGAAACCATGGGGAGGCTTATTCTGCAAAGATCCCAAATTCCAACAAGGAGAGCGTCCCAGGGGCTTTACCCTGAGAGTGAAGAATACACATCAGATATTTTCTTATCGAATGTATAAACCACACCATAAATCTACTCATATTCACTCATGAGTGACCTGGGATGAAGAAAACAAGATTATCTTGCTTCAGGGCTCTGAGGATCAAAGAATGCTAAATAAAGGGGAAAGGGTTTCAAGCAAAGTTTCATTCTGGCACCTCTTTTGTTCATATTGAGGGCAATAAAAAAGGAGAAGGTAAAAAAAAAATAAGCTTAGAACATTGCAGGTTATACCTTCCAGTTGGCTAGCTTTTGCGCTTCTATGATTTTTATAACTGCTCCCATGAGAATACCTAAAGAGAAAAGAGAAGACAAAGAACCATGAAGTGTTCATATTCTCAGTTTGCTTACGGTGAATGTCACCAAGGCATTTACATATCTGTTGTATGGCTTTAGTGCAATGATTCCCAACCTGTGGTCCATGGACTACCAGTGGTCCCTAAGAACTAAAATACGATCTGTGGCCTCACTGTTACTACACCATTGCAACAAGAGTGACTGGTCTCGTGAAACCATCTAATAGTGCTGAGGCAACAGGGATGTCAGGAGGGAAGAAACTGACTACCCACGAAAGGAGCAACAACAAGCCTCCTGACTGCTGCTTCTCCTCCTCCCCCCGACCCCAAGTGGAGCCATTCCATGTGGTGCCTGGAATCAGGGGCGCCTTGGTGTCTTTGTTTTTAGGCCTGTTCCTGGGTTATTTGGGGTGCTAATTCAGAAAATTGCATTGGATAGACCACATCAGCTCTACATTATTAAATATGGTTTTCTGTGGGCAAGCAGATGGCGACTATGGGATGGCATATATTCTGTATCAGAAACTATAGCGAATGTTGTCTTTCCAGAGCAATTTTCTCAATCAGGACCCCAAGTAACTAAACAGAATCTAAAGCTGACCTAAAACTGATTAGTAACCTTTTGGGTACTAATGTTGGAGGGTGGTGTCCCTTGTTCAAAGTGGTTCCTCGTCAAGTGGTCCCTGGTCCAAAAAAGGTTGGGAACCACTGCTTTAATGAATATTAAGATATTTAGTTCTATTTTACCCTAAGGCACTAACCTCAAATATCACAGGTTTCTCAATTTACATCAATATAAATTAGCTGACATAGCACAGAAAATTAAATTATATGTAAATGACACACAAAATGTAAGCAGTAACACTTCAATGAGTTCTATGAAGTGGCTTTGGACTCCCCTTCTCCCTTTTTCCAAGGACTGCAGCAGCCTTTTCATCAATCCTGACATCCTGTTTTTTTATGTAGTCCTTTGTTACATTTATTTATATCCTGTCTTTTGCCCAGTCTGGGAAGAAGGAAGCTTACCAAAGTTGAAACAGATATAGCTAAAATTTGCATCATACAAAAATTAAAAATAGAAACTAAAAGCAATTGGAAGCATAACCATTTAACACATAGCATATACAAACAACACCCCACTTGAAAGCTCTTTTCTCTCTCAGCAGTCAATCCACAAACATCTGCCAAAAAAATGTCTACCTATCTATGAAAAGATAGTAAGGAGGGCCTAAGCTCTTTAGGAAGGAGTGCCAGAGCCTAGGTGCTGCCAACTGAAACTGCCTTCTCCTACATTCCCACCTGAACGATCTATCAGGCAAGAACAGATCCCCAGAAGATCTCACAAAGCATGTGCCTGTTTATGTTGTCAGAACTTCTGGGGAGGCCCTTCTCTTTGTTCCTGCCTGACAGATAGTTCAGGTGGGGATGTGGGAGAATGTGGGAGCCTAGGAGCTGCCAACTGAAACTGCCTTCTCCAACATTCCTACCTAAACTACCTATCAGGCAGGAACAAAGTGAAGGGCCTCCCCAGAAGATCTGACAACACCAACAGGCTCATCTTCAGAAAACCTGGATGTTACAAAAAACCTATCTCTCTTGGCCATTGCGAGTTACTACTACTTTACCTGATCTGTTGCTACAAAATTTAACTAAGCTAGAATTAAGTCATATGATTACTAAGAGAAATACAGAGGACCTTAAAGTTTAAATCCAAGTCCTTGTCTGGATGAATAAAAAGCTAACTAAGGCAACCAGTGGAACACTTTGCATTCCTCTCCATCTTGAGAGTTATCACAAATGTTTCTCTATTAGAATCATAGCCCCAACTCCCTGCTCAATGCAGATCTCCAGCTAAAGCAGAGGTCCACAAACTTTTTAAGCAGAGAGCTGGTTCATGTTGAGGGGGCAGGCTATAATTTGAAAAAAAAACCATGAATTGATTCCTAAGTACACTGCACATATCTTATTTGTAGTGCAAAAAATGAAAGAACAATACAAAATTTAAATTGAAGAACAATTTTAACCAACATAAAGTTACCAGTATGTCAATGGGAAATGTGGGCCAATGTGATAGTGATGGTCAAGTTAATTAGGAGTAGTTTCACACTTAGAGCGACCCTAAGTCTGAACTTTAGTGGAGGCTGGGTAAATGAACTTGGAGGGCTGCATGCAACCTGAGCTACAGCATTCCCTTCAAAGATGTCCAACCACTTTTTGAAGACATGTCTTGTCTATTCCTTTTCACTCTCCCTCTTCTCTGTGGTGTCCAACCTCAATGCTATTGAAAACAGTGGTCTATGGACCAGTGTTTATCCCTAGGCCACTGGTTGGCACAAGATTCCAAGAATGAAATAATTAATAGTCGGACACTAATATGGTGCTGGCCCCTAGGATTCGGGGGGGGGGGGAGGCTCTGCCAATCCTCCACATTAGAAAGCATAGGAAGCACTATCCCACAAGGATATATTTTGGTTCAAAGAATGGAGCTATCCTTTTTTTTATTTCTTGCAAAGAAGAAGCAAGAAAACCTGTGCTCATAAGTTACTGAGGTATGCTACCTATGATTCTTCACCACAGTTTACACTGATTTGAGTTTAGGAGAGCTGCAGTTCACCTCCATCTGCAGAGTGACCTATTCCCATACTCTCCTTCCCCACCATGTCATGTACACGAATGTCACAAGAATAATTCTCACAGCACCAACTTCTACTATTAAAACAGTAAGAGACATGGAAGCAGAAGCAAAAGGCCATATGGTGCTCTTGCTGTTGCACCTAGTAAGGGTTCAGCAACTTTGTTATAGTTATAGAGGTGTTCCTCATAAATTACTCTTGATTCAGTTGTGAAATAGTGGTTTGCAAAGGCATGGAACAACCAGAGCAAATCCAGAAGTATCACCTCAATTTATCATTTTGAAGTTCTACAAACTGCAACATCTCTAAAGGATTTCCAAACAGTAGCAAGAAATGTCTTTTCTTCACACCCTATGATTGTCAAAGGTGTTTGAGAAATTTATAATCCTCCACTCTAATTCCTCTTATATCCAGTATTGAGCATCCGTTGTCTGGAATTCTGAAATCTGAAATACTCCAAAATCCAAAATTGTCCACATGGCTGGCTGATATAGTGACAGGTGTGCTTTCTGATGGTTGAACATGTACAAACGTTGTTTTGTGCACACAACTGATATAATATGGTATATAAAATTATCTTCAGCTGTATAATGTATATACTGTAAAAAACAAATATATTCTATATTTAGATTAGGGTCCCATCTCCAAGATATTTCATTTTGAAGGTACAGTATATTCTAATAAAATTCCAAAATTGGGGGAGGGGGGATCCCTATTCCAAAACTGTTTTGATTTCCATTATTTTGGATAAGAAATACTAAATCTGTAGAAACAATCATGGTATATCTCAAAAAGATTACTAGGAAGGCAAACTCGCTGTACTAAGGAAAAGTAAAATGGCTTTACAAATTAAAATGATAAACAGCCTATGTTTATTTCAATACAACTAGGCAGTCATTAATATTCAGAAAGTATTCTTTACTCATGCCCAGGAAGACATGATTTGAAAACTGAAAGTGAGAGTTCTGAAGGGAATTTTTTAAAGGAAGATGGTGCTTTGACCTACTGAGGTGATTGAAAGACCATAATAGGATCAGATGTTCCTCACAAATGCCCATATAAGGGCTGAGAGTTTGAAATGCTGAAGCTTATTTTCTTTCATATTCAAATTTCAAGGTGTCACTACAGAATAACCCTGCAAAAAATATCACAAAGCATCTATTCCTGTGTAAAACATGAAGAGTCACTGCTGTCAAAAGAAAAAAAATGTGAGTTAAGGTTTTTTTTTCAACCAGTCTTGTACTTAGAAATAAGTAGTAGTCCAGACAGAACTACTTAGTTTGGATAAAGCAACCACCAATATGTAAAACTCACTCATATTTGAACCACTTTTTTGCCAGTAAAGCAATGACAGGTATTTGGTGTTGACTAATTCAAACAATGTACTCTTTTTTCAAGAAAGTTAAAATTAATGCAAATATCACTGCCAAGGGAATCACAGTCAAGAAGCCAATTGACTAATAACAGAGTTTTCAACTGATCTTAGCCAGGACAACTGTCACTTTGGGAGTGTCACATTTACTTTTGACTGAACTAGATCAGCAATCAGCAGCCACTAAATATGGTACAATTTCCTTCCTGCCAAGTACAACTTCATATATGCTTTACCATAGAAATGTGAACTGGCTATGGGCCAAACTGGCTCATCAGAGCTCTTTGTCCAATACAGATAGTTCCCATTAAGGTTTACTCTGCTCGCAAAGTCTTTGTCATATCCAAAAATAGAGAGGAGAGTAATAAGCAGTGACTGGAGTTGCTGACACAAGGCATCTACAGCGCTTTGAAGCAATTCTTTGCAAACCTCAGTTGGGCTGCTGCCTCGTCCTCTCTATTTCTCAACAAAACAAAACTACAGTAACAGCAATTTCTTCCTGCTTTCTAACTGCCAGAACTGGCAGGGACCACATCTCTACCATCTGCTCCATGGACCTAAATGGATAACCCTTATTTCTAAACAGCCTCTGAATCAGCTCCACTATTTCCAGACACTGGAAATTTGAACTTCACAATCTCCTCTTTGGTTCAGAATATTAGGAAAGTTTTCAAGATAGTCCAAAGCACTTGGAACAGGCTCTTATCAAGTTGTCTTAAAACTACTGGAACAAGCCTTTGGCAACATTTGCAATTCAGAGGCTGGAAGAGGAAGTACTCCAGCACTGAAACTACTTAGTACACTCTACAGTTCCTTTGATTTGTATTCCTCTGCCCACAAAGTTGATACAGTAAGTATTTGCACATTTTATACTGAAGAATCATATGAAAACAAAGGTTGTCAATTGAAAGGGGGTGGTTAGGAAGAAAAGAGAGTCTACTAAGGGGTGTAAGGGTTTTATGGTTTATGCCCTTATATGCAGCCTCATTAAC